CTCCATCTATCTATTTCCCAGTGGTGAGGATTTTTGTTTTCTTGATGTTAAGATATAACCCATATCAAGCAGTTCGAATCCACCAGATGCTCTGCTGGAGCAGGAGGGACAATCTCCTCCTGTACCAGTCAGATCCAATTGATGGTACATGCACACAAAATAAATAATAAAATTTTAAAAAATATATAATCTGTATTGAAAGCTATAGTCTTTTATCTTCTGCAGCAAGCATTTAAAGTCCTTTTCGCTTTTGGCAAGCAAGGTTATATCTTCTGCATATACATGTTCTTGATGAATCTTGCTCTGATTCTCATGCCACATTCTTCTTAATAAAGTCCAAAACCTGAAATGATTTGTTCAGCATACAAGTTGAATAGGTATGAGAAAAGGATACAACCCTGACACACACATTCCTTGATTTTAAACCATGTAGTGTTCCTTTGCTCTGTTCGGACCTCAGCTGCGCTTTTTTTTTTAAATTTTGTTGTTGGGGTTTCTTTTGTGGTGGTGGTGTTTTTTTAACCTCAGTTTCTTGATCAAAAGTATAGATTTTGCATGAGCATAATAAAGTGTTCTCGGATTCCCATTCTTCTTAATGTTAGCCATAATTTGTTATGATCCACACAGTCAAATTTTGCATAGTCAGTAGCACAGATAGGCATCCTTCTGACTTTCAGCCAAGATCTTTCTGACGTTTCTAGTGCCATGGCCTCTTCTAAATCCAGTTTGAATTTGTGGCGGATCTCTGTTGGTGAGCCATTTTGGGATAATCATCAGCAAGACTTCAATTGCAAGTGATATTTTTGCTTACCCCTGCACATAAACTCTTTATACTCTCCATCTGGACAGGGAGGACCTAGGGAGGTGCTTAGATTATTTTACTTAACTTTTCCTGCCTAATTCTAAGGGATTAGAGTAGAAAGAATGTATCTAGTAGAACTGTTTCATTCCAACTCTTTATTAGCTATGTGATCCTAATGAATGATTTTACTTCTGAGTCCTTTTAAAAAAAAAATTGGTTTTGTTGATACTAAAAATTACATAACATATATAATATATACCAATTTAATAATTTCTACAGTGACACTGACTGTTGTTACTGTTGTTGTTAAGTGCCGTTGAGTTGTAGACGACTCATAGCGACCCTATGAATGAAAGATCTGAGCACTGTTCTTAGGGTTTCCGGAGGCAAGCCATTTCGGAAGTGGATGCCATTCCTGCTTCCAACCTTGATTTAATTGGGAAGCTCCACCAAACACTGTCCACCTTTATTGTATTTGGCACATCAGTGTCACAGTGTTTAGCATCATAGCAGCCATGAGTTACCTCTGTACAGCAGTGCAGACTAGTGCTATACCACGTAGAAGAATATTTGGAAAAAACAAAACACACAAACCAGTTTAAACTAGGCTTGAGTGCCACAGATTAAAATCATCCACTTTTGGCTTGGTAGCATACCTTTCTGTCCACTAGGCCAGCGTAGCTCTCTCTGTGTTGTTATTGTTATACTCTCATTGTTGTGGTGGTGACACTGAGTGCATTCTTCAAATTGTACAACCATTCTGACTCTCTTTTTTTCTGAGTTTTTCTTTTTTTCCATTAAGTCACTGTCTAATCATTTCATTGACTGTTGTCATTTTGATCCTATGTAGGCAGGTATGTTTTAAGAAGATGCCAGAGAATATTTCTGTTTCAAGATTTAAAGATTATTGTCAAGGCAATAGTTTCACTAGTTCATCCATGAGAGTTTGAAATTTGCCCCTTCTCATCAGGATTCTTCTATGGACTCTTTGCTCAAAATATTCAATCAGGATAGCTGGGTACTTCTCCAGCTCTTCTGGTCTCAAGGCAAAGGAAACATTTATTCATCAAAGCAATTACTGCATTTTTTCCTCCTGTATTCCTGATTCTCCTTCTGTGTTGATGCTCTCAGCACCTAGAGCGTAATTTTTGTGCCTCTGGTGGCTTTAAGTCTTAACTTTCTTTTCCTATTTTTATTATTTTTTTTCTTTTTTTCTGTTGTGTGCCATCCGTCAGATCTGACTGGCACAGGAGGAGATTGCCTTCCTTCTCCAGCGGAGCCATCTAGTGTATTTGAACTGTGCATCTTTAGGATTGTAGCACAGCTTCTTGCCACTAGGCCATCAAAGCTTCCTAAGTCTTCACTTTCTTAACTACTAAGTAAGGGTTATCTTTTTTCACCCTATAGGATTATTATAAACTGAAATGAGACATTATTTATAAATGTTATTCCTCACCCATCCCTCCTCTCACATCTCATCCATTTTACCACCGGGGGCTGCTACCAAAGAACTGTTGAGGTGATTAGGATGGCTGGAGAAGAAGAAAAAATAACAGTCCATTAGTTTGTCTGACATACCATTTTCCCAGTAAATCTCCCCACTTGAGGCTAGTGAGAGCACTGGAGGAACAAAAGCTAAAACCAGGCTATTTATATTCTGAGATTCCTCCCTTCTTGCTTATGGGGCAGATTTTTCAAACTACCTCCACAGACTAGAAGAGCAATCATGGAGCTAGAGGAAATAGCCAGAAGCAGGCATTAACTGGGTGTTTTTTCCTTTTTGTCTTCAGGGAAACGATGATCTTATGAATGAACACTTGCTCCAGGAGAGAAATGGTGTGAAATCAAGAATGTGTCAGGGAGAGCTGAGCTACATCTTAGATGACCCTTCCTTCAGAGGCAGTACACAGTGCAGATAGGAATCCCTTCTCAAGTGGGCATTCAAAAAAAGCTGTAGTAGTACTCTATGGGCAGTTAGAATGCCTTGGAAAAAGCCGTGGAATCAGACAGGCCAACCTAGTCCTGGGATTTTTAAGACTGCCCTCAATATTTACAGAGTTCTGAGCAGCTGATGGGATGAGGCATGAACCAGGTTTCTTCTGATAGGAGAGATTGCCTATTTGTCAGATGTGAAAGCCACAAGCTCTTTCAGGCTTGGTCTCCAGCCAGCCTTGCTATTCATGTGAAATTTCTTTTGTGATTAACTTGTTGTTCCTCTCTTCTCCCTCCCCATCTTTTCCCCCTTACCTCTCTTGTGACTTCCTTTTCTCTTACATTTTCCACATGCTTCTCTGCTGGTCTACAGCCAGTCCCGACTCTGCAGCCCTCTCCGCAGCCTGTTCAGTTCTCTCCAAGCTCCTGTCCCCAAGTCCTTCTGCCAGTCTCTCCGCCCCAGCAGTACAACATGGTATAAACTCCATCCCTCCTTTTTGTTCTTGTCCATTTGTGGCCTGTGTCTGTGGGTCTGTCTGGGATGACTTTGCAAGTATGCTGTGCTTTTTTATGGGAACCATGTTGTGTTTCTTGAGGGACCAAAATGAGTTGGAGTATACTCCATTCTCATGTCCTCATCATAGCACTATAGGTAGCAAAAGATACTAAATGTAAGACAAAAAAGAACATTGTGGGTTTTTTGCATTTACTCAGGAAAAGAAACAGTTGAATGCTTTTCAAACCTGTACTCCTCCTCTCTCTACCATGTATAGCTCATCTCATTTACTCCCTGGCCATGTATACTATGGTTCTCTGTAAATTATTTTAAAATAACCATGAAGATTTTTCTTATGTCCCTGGTAGAAACTTAAAATGTCCCATATTCAAACATCTTATATGTACTGCATCGTTCATACTACTTAAATTGTTTAGATCCTAACGACAAATTATTTTAGTATCTGATTTGACTGGTATTTGAAAACATCATAGCTAAAAGAATATGGGGGTGGATTTAATAAAATTTTTTAATTGTGATTTTAACAAAAGTTTACAGGAAAGTTAGATTTTTATTCATTAACTCATTGTTACACAAGAACACTTTTTTAATGGGGTTGGTTGTTGTTGTTTTCCTATTAACCACATTTCTCTTGTTTTTCGTTAAAATCCCCTCTTTGATCTCCTACCTCTTATTCTGAAAAGTCCTGGAGTATGGACCTCAAAATAATCTTCAATTCAGTCTTTTGTCTTCTATTTTTAGTAAGGTAGCAGAACAGCTAAAATGAAGATCAGAGTGAAAATTGAAACTACAGGAAAGCATTGTCTTTTGGTTTCTGCTAGTTTCTTTTGCAAAAGGTCTCCTGTTCTCGTGTATCAGTGGTTGAGGTGTGAGTGTGTGTGTGTGTGTGTGTGTGTGTGTGTGTGTGTCTGTGTGTGTGTGTCTGTGTGTGTGTGAGAGCGAGAGAGAGAGAATTACTGTCCAGAGAGCAGGAGGGATGAGAAAGCTAACAAAGCCTAAGCTATTACTATATAAGTGAGAGATGGAACACCATCACCGTTACTGCTTAGAAGAGGGCCATGAGAGAGGTAATTACAGACAGGCCATTCAGTCTTGCTCTCTAGCTCAGCTACTCACCCTGGCCTCCTTTCAGAGGCGAGAATTGGAAGCTGTTTCTAAAGGGCAGGAGAACTCTAGGCTGATGTCAGAGAACAGAGGTGGAAATGATCTGGAGAGGAAGCTAGGAGATAAGCAGCAGGAGTGGGAACCCAGCAGTGTTTCCCCTGTGTAGTCAGAGCTGGGGAATCACATGAACCTGCCCATCCATAACAGCCTCAAGAGATTATTTGGGTCCTTTTTTATAAGAGCTGGACTTAGAGCAATGGAGGGCCCTTTGTATGACTGGGGGCATGAGAAGAAAGACTCTTAAAATCTTTAACCCAATAATTAATTCTGTGCTTTTATTTATGGTAATTATGTCATTCCTTCCATCTCCCCAGGAAGAATCTTAATAAAGATCATAATCAGGGTAGCTGTTGTTAAATATGTTACAGAGACTGGCTCTGGAGTTGAGCTTCAGACAACTCTTCACAGCAGTTTAAAGTTCCAGAAGGAGAGGTTTAGGATTAAAAAACACTTCCTACTAGGACAGAAGCAGAATATTTCCAGATTTGTATAACAAAAGATTGTTATTGCTGTCTGTCTGTGTTGAAACCAAAGAGATGAGGCTGGATATAGCCTCAGTCCTTTCACTCCTTGTTCTGTCAATAGGCAGATGACCTCAGCAACCCCTTTGGACAGATGAGCCTTAGCCGCCAAGGTTCGACTGAAGCAACAGACCCATCTTCAGCTCTGTTCCAGCCGCCACTTATTTCCCAGCACCCGCAGCAAACTAGCTTCATCATGGCTTCCACAGGACAACCCCTCCCCACTTCCAACTTTTCCACCTCTAGCCATGCACCACCTACTCAGCAAGTCCTGCCACCCCAGGGCTACATGCAGCCCCCTCAACAGGTGAGCTACTCAGGTGCCTGATTTAAATCACTAATTCTGCATGCCTACTGTTACAATGCTTTTTTCTTTCCCTAATGTAGGTAGAACAAAGGGGACACATAAAGGAGCTCTGGTGGCCTAGTGCTACCAACCCAAACACAGGTGGTTCAAATCCACCAGCTTCTCTAAAGGAGAAAGATGGCAGTCTTCTCCCGTGTAATGTACAGCCTCTAAAAGCCCATTGGAGTGTCTGCTATGAGTCGGTTGCCACTTAATGGCACACAAAATATCCTAGCCACATGTTCTTTCTATGTAACACAGATTCTTCTTTTTACTTTCAAACTTTTATATTGATCCTCCAATTTCTGGTTCAGAATATGGCCATTTACAGATTTTTGGCCATCAACTCATGCACTTAATGTTTGAGAATGTTGGAGCTAATCACGAGAAGCCCTCACACATCTCTTTACTTTCACCATAGATCCAGGTTTCTTACTATCCTCCTGGACAGTATCCAAACTCCAGCCAGCAATACCGACCTCTCTCTCACTCGGTGGCCTACAGCCCCCAGCGTGGTCAACAGCTGCCTCAGCCATCCCAGCAGCCTGGTAAGAGGAACTTCTGGCAGAAGAAGGCGGTCAAAAAATAAGCGTGGGAGCTAAGAATCAAAGATTATTTTCTCCATCCAAAAAGAAGAAGAAGCAGTAATGATTAAGTCTAAAAGAGAAACCTAGAATTTCCAGGAAAAGAACAGAATGGAAGGGGGAAATTGCTGTTAGAATATGACCTACTAAACATTACTGAAGGACCCCGGGTGGCATAGTGACTAAGGTATCAGGCTACACTCATTGATAAGTCAGTGGTTTGGATCCACTAGTAACTTCACGGAAGAGAGATAAGCAGTCTCCTTCTGTTAAGATTTACAGCTTTGGAAAACCCGTGGAGGGTCACCGTGAAACAGAATCAACTTCACAGCAGAATGTTTGAGTGTTTTTTGTTTGAACACTATAGAGACCAGACTACTTTGTTTTTTTCCTGCCTTGCCCATCCATAGGTTTACAGCCCATGATGCCAAACCAGCAGCAAGCGGCTTACCAAGGCATGATTGGGGTCCAGCAACCACAGAATCAGGGCCTGCTCAGCAACCAGAGGAGCAGCATAGGCAGCCAGATGCAAGGCCTGGTGGTTCAGTACACTCCACTGCCTTCTTACCAAGTGGGTATCTTCTGAGTAGGGGAAGACCACTTACTCCTTGGGGGAATGAAAAGGAAGACAGCCTTCCAGAATCTTCGAGACTGACAATTCCAATACCAAATTTGTTAGTTTTATTCTGAGGGAGAAAGAGCCCAGAGCATCTGAGAAAATCTTTATTTAAATTCTTTGGTCTTCATACATCCATAAAAAATATGTATATGCCCAAAACAAATCAGGCTCCTTCCTCCAGAGAAGGAAGATGCCCAAGAATTGAATTTGGAAAGTGGAGAAGAGTGGGAAAGCTTTGTAAGCATTTCTTTTAAGCAGATGTGAAAAACAGAAGGGTCTCTTAAAAGTTAGACAGGAAGTTGTAGTGCCCTAGTCTAGTGATGATTATTAGGCTGTTCTCTTGATGAGCTCAATAGGAGAACGATAATCCATCCTCTTTTTGTCTCTTCCCAGGTCCCAGTCGGTAATGACTCGCAAAATGTGGTCCAGCCAGCTTTCCAGCAACCAATGCTGGTCCCTGTGAGCCAGTCTGTGCAAGGGGGCCTGTCAGCAGGGGGCGTGCCAGTATACTACAGCATGATCCCACCAGCTCAGCAGAACGGTACGAGGTGAGGACTCCCGAGAGTGGAGGCTCTTCTCTCATAGACTCTCACCAACTATTGCACCATGGTTTTATTGCCAGTGGCCCAAGAAAGGCAGAAGTAGAGATCCTAGTGAAGCCCTAAAGCAGGTAGAACATGAGGGAGTTTATGTTCCTTTTCTCACCTTTGATTTGTGTTGTAATAAGAGCTTATCAGCAGAAAAAGATTTCATCTTCAGAGACAGAGATTTTACCTTTTTCTCCCCCCTCCCCAAACTAATGAAACTTGGAACTATGAGACAGAGAATATTCACCAGTAAGAGAAGTAATTTTGGAGCTTATGTATATGTATCTTTCTGTGTACCTTTGTATCTGAGCAAATTTCATATGGCATGTACTTCTATGTGTTTATGTTTAGCTCAATTAGGTCATAGCTAATAAATAAAGAAATTTATTTCTTTATTAACATCTAGGGTTGTTAATAATAAAGCCAAATGACTTAGCAGAGCTGAAACTAGAACACAACATTTGTCTTGTTTCTGTGTAATCTCTCAGTGCTGGTGTATATACATCTGTCTATTTTTATATATGCCTCCTTGTTGCCTAGCGTTGAAGGGGGTATTTTCCCTCATTTATCTTCAGCTGGCTGTCAGCCATTATGTATATATCTAAAAATCAGAGATCTCCTTAGGTTTTTTATTACTCATCTATCTTCCCTAGCCCTATATATCTGACACACTCTTTGTCTGTGTTTCTGTTATATGTTTCAGAATCTGTGTGTGTGTGTGTGTGTGTGTGTGTGTGTGTGTGTGTGTGATGCACATGTATGTGTCTGTGTTTCCACACTGTTAGGAAGAGCATGTATCGCTAACATTCCATCTATAGAACTGATTAGCAGCTTCTTAATTGAAAGATGATCAAGTACAAATATGTATAATTAACTTTGAACTGATGAGTGATTTTAGAAATTGCATGGCAAATTGGTCTGGGAATGGCTTGGAGCTGCCTCAGCTTCCCATGGGGAGGCCCAGGAAGTAGCAGCTGTTTGCCAGGAGCTGTGTTCCTCCCTCTGCTGTTTCACCACTCCTCTCTTCTCCATCTCTACAGCCCTTCAGTGGGGTTTCTGCAACCTCCTGGTTCTGAGCAGTACCAGATGCCTCAATCTCCCTCTCCCTGCAGTCCATCACAGATGCCACAGCAGTACTCAGGTAAGGGGATGAAGAGTTGGGAAAGTCTTGGCTACTATCAGGGGCAAAATGTTACTTAATAAGGGCTTTTGCTCTTGGATTGGGAAGGACAAAGAGTTTGGAGATTGGTGGATTTGTCTCAACTGACTTTATCACTAGGAGAGAGCAGAGTGTTTCCTTGACAGGTGTTTTCTAGAGGTACTGAAACTGTCCCAAAAGCTGCATCTGTTGATTGGTTTCCTATTTCCGGTTTTTTGTTTGTTTGTTTTTTTGTTTTTGTTTTTGTTTTTTGCTGAATCCTGCGTTGTCCTCTCATGCCTTTGGAAAATGAAGTGCTTACCTTTGTCTCCTGTACTCATTATTCCAATAGACAATTTTTCTTTTCCATTGAGAGTGTGGAGGCTGATAATATGTTCAAGTCATATCTTCTATTTGTTTAGAAGTTTTCAGTGTGTGCTTATATACATTATGGCATTGTAATCTTCACCACAACTTCATGAAGAGGAAATTAAGACTCAGAAAGGTTAAATGACTTGCCTGTGGTCACAGTCCTAGTAACTTGGACTTTCTAAATCTCATTGTTAATAACACATTTTCAGCCGGCATCCATATACCTTTCTCTTCAGTGAGAAAGAAATGGCTATCGTGTTAATTTATTGAAAGCTCTCTTATGAGGCCAAGCATCCCAGGTGAATAGGCTTTCACTTATCTGCCTTACATTCTTTCATTATCTGCCTTTGCCGGAAACTCCCTAACTCACCACATACCACTGCCCTTGTTTATTTTCCATTCCCCCTACCCCGACATAGTATTACGCTGTACTTAAAGAAGGTTCAGGAGTTCTGGAGTGTGAGGAAGTCTTAATTTAGCCTCCAACCATCCCAAACCCTGCTTATTATAGGAATGTCAGAGTGCCCTCTTCTGGTGAGACATGGGTACTTCACCAATGTTTTCACTTTTAGAATTGGATGTTGTTGGGGTTTTTTTTCGTTTACAGGTTTTTTGCACTCTTACAGTGTTAAATGCTATGAAGGGAATTTCAAAACCAGTCTTGTTCAAAGACATGATCAATTCTTACTTTCAAGGAGCAATGACTTCTGTGTTGATCCAAGCCACAGATCTCTTCCAGGCTGCAAAGTTTAAATTCAACACCTTACACTTTATTATATGATTGGTCTCTCTAGTACTTCCTCTCATTGCTGCCAGGGGCATTTGGCCTTGAAATTCCCAGTGGATTATGGAAATTTTAGAAACCAGTTTCAAGAACCTTTCTGTAGCCTATGGTGGTGCTTGGTACCTCAGGGCGTTTTGTCCCTTGCTTATTGGAGTAAGTGTGTGCTTGTGCATATGGATTTGCTAGTAGGCACATTTTTGTGTGTATTCACAGTGGTATATCATTACATCTGTTAGGAATAGCAATTAGATCCCTCTGTAGTTACATCTATTCATCATTTATTAAAAAAATAAAACACCCCAACCACAAGATCTTTGAATCAGCAACAGGAATTAACCTGCTCTGGACCCAATAATGGATCACATAAATTGAAATTGTTTCTGTTCTGGAAGTTAGTAACTACAGAGATCGAGGCTGAGGTTGAAAGACATAAATAATCTAGATTCTTCCTTAATCAACAGAAAAAGAGAAAACCCTCTTTTTCTTACTTCTTTGGAATTTTCTTAGTTTTCTCACCTTTCTTTTTAGCTACACTGATTAATCCTAGGCTTCTGACTGAGTGCTGTTTTAACTACATGGCCTATAAGACCGTCTTTATTCTCTGCTTATGGAAATCTAAGGAAAAGGTGAAGAAATGCTGTTTCTGCCTTCCTTTCAGTTTACTCTTTAGTGGAAAGACAGAAGGCAGGCCTACAAGGGCTCTTCTGTCACCTCCAAAAGGACAGTTACCCGCCCTCCTCCCATGTAGCAACATGGTCACTTGTCCAAAAATAAAGGCAGGGATTAGAATTGGCTGTTCCTGGAACAACTGTTCTGGCTTATTAATACATTTTTGTAGCTACTCAGTTCATCCCAGGCCTGGACCTTAATTTCCTCACTATGACATTAGCATAGCTATAACCCCAGGAAACACTGTCTTTCCACTAAAATGATGCACCTTGAGTTTTCTACAGGGATGTCTGTTTGGAAAAGATGCACACAAACATGAAGTGGCAATGATACCTGTACACAGACTCCTGTTCACAATGACACAGCAACAAAGAAGATACATACAGAAGTAGTCTCTCACATACTTACTCATTCTATAGCTGAAGGGTTTCCGAAACTGACTTTTTTCTCCCATTTCCTGAAGACACCACTTCCCCAAAAAGAAAAAGACCTTGATCTTGTTGGAGTCTCTTCTGTAATTTGGAAAAGGTGCCTAGGGATTTTATTTTTCTGGACATTTGTTCTATAGATTTGACCTCTGGTGGTATGGAGAAGCTTATCAGTCTGATTTCAGTGATTTAAAAAAAAAAATTAAAAATAATAGTGAAAAAACAATTCTGCCAGACATAAATGTCACCTGTTTATATTTATGTGGTTTGCACTGTCCAATCGACCTTTCTATCCAGGTTTAATGATGCCACTTAAAAAGCCATTCACATGTCCCCTCTCCTTTCAGAGCTTTCAAGCTGAAATTGATGTCCTAATCCAACCCCTTTCTTCCCCTTCCCACCCTCAGCCCCAATCCAGGCTCCTTCCCCCAACCTGATTATATGTAGGTGCTGTCTCTGGACAGTGGGTTGTTTAGGTTTGGGGTTGATTTTTTCTTACTGCCACATCCATTAAGAAGTAGCGACAGTTCAGCTGCTAACGGATGCCACCTGCTTTTGGCTGGAGGAAGAGAAGCATAAAAATCAGCTCATCAGCCGAGTAGTGCTCTGTGTCCTCGGCTGAGTGAGGGAACAATGCTCCAGGCCAGCAGGGGAGGACTCAGTGTGGGGAAGAGCACAGAACAGAGGCTGCTGCTAAGAATCCTGACTTTGTTTTTGTTAGGATCAGAGAAAATAATGAGGACTGTGTTCTCCCCCACCCCTTTTGAGCCCCCTAATAACCTCTTAGGGCTACATGTTAGGATTAGAGAGCATTTCCATACTTCTGTGCTGTTCTGTCACTGTAAATGGGAATCTGCATATGCCTACTACCTGTACCCCTCACTCCCCATCCCCCACCTTTCCTGGCCCAGGGCATTAGGCTGAGATTCTGAGCTGCCTTCCAGAAAAGCTGTAGATTTGATTTTTTTTTTCTTGGTCCCTCAGTTAGCAATGAAGTGTTTGAATAAGAGGTCAATTGCAGTTTTGTAGGAGGATGGTGGAATTGGTGGGGCTTTCAAGATGGGGAAATAAATGCCCAAAGCATCTGTAGTAAGAAGGTAGACTTTTAAGTACCTGACGCTCACAACTACAATTTTCCCCGGTCCTTTTACAAACCATGCTGATGAATAAATACTTTGTCCCTCTCAGCAGGGGATGAGGAAGTACAAATGTCTTTCTGAGTATTTGTGCTCTCTTACTAGATAAACCTTAGAGAGTAGGGATCACAAATTGGTGAATGTGATGTGACAGATGCTGTATCTCGTGAGCTTCTCTTTCAGACTTCCCACCATTTCTCTTCCTTCCCTTTGACCGACACTACCTGAGAAAAGCAATCACGCTGACATCCCAGCATGACTGGTGCCCAGGGCAGAGGCTGCAACATTTCCTGTCACAAAAACCAGTGTGATGGTGGCTGCAGCAGCAGTCCGAGATAGAACTCCACACCACGAAAACAGCAGCATTGCAGCAGGTTTCAGAATGAACAGCCTCAGGCTCCGTTTCTTTACCATTACACACATAGGAACCCAGCCTGTTCCTCAGTGGGGTTATAGCCCAGGAGGTCAAGAGCACACCCTCACTCTGATGCAGAACTCCTGCCCATCCCTCCCAGCAGGGACTATCCATCAAAATATTTCTCCCTGATCTCTTTCTTTTCACCATGAAGAAGATATAAGAATTAATGCCCCTCCTTGCTGATCCCTATCCTCCGCTATCCTGAGAGCAGATGATCATCTTTGGTTGCCGGTCTACAACCTCAGTAGCACATCTAGTCTGTTCATCTGAACTTGTCAATATATCCGTCAGAGTCGGGGGGTCCAGCCCTTCCACTCCATTCCTACTAACACTGGCCTAATTTGAAACTTTCTTATTTCTATTCTGTTTCTTTACTTTCCTAACCCTTCTTCCTGTAACTAATCTTTCCCTTCCTTCAGCCATCCTATGTTTAGCCATTTTAGTTCACCAAAGCATAAATTCTGTTCCCAGAAACAACATGGTCAAGTTCAAACTCTTTAGCAGAGCATACCTCACATTCTGACAACAACAATTTGTTTAATGTCTGTCTGCCTAATAGACTGTCCACTAAATGAGAGCATTGACCAAGTTTATTTGTAAATACAGTGCCCAGCATTTTAACTAGCTCGTAGAAAATGTTCAATAATTATTGAATAGATAAACAAGTGTATTTCATCTCTTACTACTCCCCCTACATAGTCTGTGTCTTAGCACTTTTAATTATTTGTCATTTCTTGAACATTACATACATCTTCTCTTTTTTGACTGTTCTCTGACTCAGTCTACTCTTTTCCAAGAAATACGTTGTTGGTCTGATTCACTAAAACTAAGTCTTCTCCAGAGTCACAAGATCACAAGATCACAATGGTGACAAGATCTGTCACCATTATCAGAAAAACCTGCATAGGGAGCTCTGGTGGCCTAGTGGCAAGAAGCTGCACTGCAATACTGAAGGCGCACGGTTCAAATCCACCAGCTGCTCCACTGGAGAAGGAGGAGCAATCTCCTCCTATGCCAATCGCATCCGATTCAGTGGTACACAACAAGAAAAGGGAGAGGGAATAAAAGAAACTGGGGCGGGAAGCCTGGAAAAAAAAAAACCAAAAAAAACAACCTACAGCCCTGGCCCAGGACCAGGCTGGGGCCTGTGCTGTGCCCAAGCATTTAAGCAATCTGACCTGGACATGTAATACCCAACTCAGACAGAATGGACTAATGTTCTGCCAAGGATACCAAAGAACCCCTTATCAGGTAAAACCAGGAGAGCATTGGCATCTGGAACCTCTCTTCCTTTCACCCCTACCTCCACGGGCTTGGGGAGAAGGAATCAGTAGCTGAATCAGCAACCATCTGAGATTCCGGGCATGAGAGAGTTTGAGCAACCCTGAGGCTAGTGGGTGGGATTTGCTTGCCACCTTTTCCACTCAGGACTGAATACTGTTTAAATTCACCACGAACTGCTTTCTCTCTGCCCCTCAGGAGTGTCACCTTCTGGACCAGGTGTGGTGGTCATGCAGTTGAATGTCCCTAATGGACCCCAGGCCCCCCAGAATCCATCTATGGTCCAGTGGAGTCACTGTAAATATTACAGTGTGGACCAGCGGGGGCAGAAGCCTGGAGACCTGTACAATCCTGAAGGTAGTCCCCAGGTGAGTCCTGCTGGCCAGCCTTATCTTGGCAAGGAAGTGCTAGATATTTTACAGGAGCCATCTTTTTCATTGACTGAGCAGTTCTTAACACATCTTTCCATAGCCATTTTTGGAAGAGAAATACAAATATAGAAGATTGAATGCAATTGCAGGGAATCTAATATCAAAGGTGGCAGATAGAATACTACTTAAAGTTACTCAAAGAATACTTAAAACAATGTTTAAAAGTAAACATTCAAATAATACAAACTTTCATTTGATTGCTAAAGGAGCGGTCTAAATGAGGAGTCTTGCTTTGGGAGAAAATTTCTTTTCTGAGGGAGTAAGTTTTAAGCTAAGCCATAACGTAATATTTGATATTAATATGACATGTTCTCCTCTCTTCCACAGGCCAACACACAGATGAGCAGCCCTGTCCCATCTCCTACCCAGTCCCCAGCACCCTCTCCTGTCACCAGCCTCAGCAGTGTCTGCACAGGACTTAGTCCCCTGCCTGTCCTCACACAGTTTCCCCGGCCTGGGGGTACAACACAAGGTAAAAGGAGTTAGATTAATTAGGTTTGAATGCCACAGAATTCACCCTTTGAATCCCAGTCTGAAGAGAAGATCTAAAGGGTAATAATGGGCAGGAGTCATTGTGACTGGTTCAACTCTGGGAGCTAACTGTTCCCTTTCTATTTAGAAAACTTCTGAAAATTCCAATTCCTGTTTTGTCCCAAGACACTCATCCATCTCTAGTGCTTCCCATAATTAACTTACTCCAAAGTATTCAACATTAAGTAGGATTGGTGACTGTGGACCATGAAAAATAAGTTCACTGGACTTTCTAATGAACCAGATTGTTTAACCCTCTATGTTAAATGTGAGGTCTTGGAAAGTGGGGCCATGTCAGAAACAGTATGGCTTTAAAAGTGGGGTTAAAAGAGATTCAATTCAACCTCTGCATCCACCATCGCCGTGTGATGTTGAGCAAGTTACTTATAGTTGGAACCAAACTGTTTCCTAATCTATAAAGTAGGGTTACTCACACATAGGATGTTGTCTGTCTTGGATGTATTGAGCTAACTAACAAGAGGAAGATAAGATTTTAAAATTTTAAAGTACTTTGAAATGTAATTTTATCAATAATATAGTTAATGTTTGTGGTATTTAATGTATTATCTTGGAAGGAGGAGTGGCATCCACTTCCATAATAGCTTGCCTCCGGAAACCTTATGAACTTGAAGAGAGGATGAAAGGCACCCAGGCATCCAGGACTCTCCTTCATAGAGTTGCTATGAGTCGCCTGCGACTCGACGGCACTTAACAACAACAACGTATTATCAATATTGACATATATTCCTTTAACCTTCCTAATAACAATAATGAAGGAAAGTTGTGTCTAACATTATTACCAGTAAAAGAGCTAGGATTTAAACACAAGCTTGTCTGGTTCCATATCTTTGCTTATTCATTATACTTATTACTTTTCATGTGAGTCAGAAAGTTGAGCCCTGGATTTGGAGGTGGGGAGAATCTAAGAGATAAAAGACATCTGTATGGGTATAGAGTTTTCCTCCTTGATCATTTCTTTAGGGCCTTTTGTCTGTCATAGGCATGGGAACCCCGTATCACCATTTACTTGTGAGAGAAAAGGGTAGGAATTGTGTATATTGTTGCTGTCTGTCTCCAGAGCCCTCTGAGGTATCATAAAATTGATACCCTGAAGCTCAAACTCCCAAAAAACTACCTGTTCTTCCTCCCTAGGTGACGGGCGCTACTCCCTGTTAGGCCAGCCGTTACAGTACAATCTGTCCATCTGCCCTCCTTTGCTCCATGGCCAGTCGACTTACACAGTGCACCAGGTAAGGATATCCCCCATCCCCTCTCATTGAACCTTCACACCATCAGACCTACCTTCTCATTTAAATCCTGTCGCTGAGCCATCTGCTGCAAGCTGCCTGGTGGACAGGGGAAACAGCACAGAGAGGATGGACAAAGTAGAGATGCTCCAGGGCTTTACCTTGTCCCTGTACTCATTCTTCCCACTCACCTCAGTGCCAAGGGGACAAACAAACACTTTTCTCCTCAGTGGTCATAACGTGTTCCATCTGACTGTGGGTTAGAGTCATCAGGACTAGGTGCTACTTAATCTCTCAGGCCAACATTGAGATGGAAGGCTGACATTGGGTTGTTTACCTGCGATATTTTCTTTCAAATGCTGAAGGGTCAGAGTGGATTGAAGCATGGAAATCGGGGCAAAAGACAAGCACTCAAATCTGCCTCTACTGACCTGGGGACAGCTGATGTTGGTGAGTGTTAAGATGCTGAATCCCCTAAGAAAGTGCCCATCTCCCTTTCTCTAGCCCCAAGCCCTGTGTGTCCATTTCTGGGTGGATGGAAAAAAAGACAGGTTATAGTGTAGAACAGAATGGAAACTCTTTATGTTCAAGAGGAAAGAGAAGTATCTCAGTTATTACCAAGCCATCCCAGGTCCTGAAGAAGGTAGTGGTAAAATTAGGAAGAACATACTGATGAGACCACTGAGCCCTTGCATTTCTACGTTTGATAATCCTAGAATGAAGTAAGAAGAAGGCTGACAGGGAAGGTGGGTGAATAGTTCTCTCCCCTGTATTTCCGTACTAAGCGTACAGTATCTCTCTGGAATTCCTCTATTGGAAGGAGTTTCCTACACAGAGAAATGGAGGAAAACTGGTAAGAGGGAAGACTATATTTGTACCAGCCTCTGAGTAGAAAGAAAACTATGGAACTTGTTTTGTCAGATTGATGTTAAAGAACATCAGGAAAAATCATACTTCTTTCATAGTATCAGTACTCAGAGCTGTCAGTCCACAGATCGTAAACCTGGGATTCTCATTCTCAGTTCCTCCTTGCCTGCATCTTTAGAAGATGAAGAGTAGGCTAGGAGAAAAGGTTGATGTTTTTCTCCTATTTTCCTTGATCTGAGTCTCAAATATGGGAGATTGTGTTGATTTGGGGAAGGGAGGGACAAGCAAAATGGGAACAGCTCATTTTTGGAGAATAGTGCATATAGATTTGGTTAGCTGGATACTTCTCTGCCAGACCTGAGCCCAGTCCCTGCTACTCCTCATATCTCACAGCTATGTTTTCTTTCTCCCCCCTTCCAGTCTTGGGGCGGGTGCTGGAGGTGACAGATCTCCCAGAAGGCATCACCCGTACTGAAGCAGACAAACTCTTCACTCAACTCGCCATGTCTGGCGCCAAGATCCAGTGGCTCAAGGATGCTCAGGGGTTGCCTGGTGGAGGTGGGGGGGACAACAGTGGAACTGCTGAGAATGGCCGCCACTCGGACCTTGCTGCCTTGTACACCATCGTGGCTGTATTCCCCAGCCCCTTGGCTGCCCAAAATGCCTCCCTTCGCCTCAACAACTCTGTGAGTCGCTTCAAACTTCGAGTGGCCAAAAAGAACTATGACCTGAGGATCCTGGAGCGAGCCAGTTCTCAATGAGCAGAGGAGGGAATGGGACCGGCACAGAGGTGGAGACAGGGTGGACAGGGTCATGGGACCCAGACAGCCCATGGACAGAGGCAGAAAGTAGGAGACAGAAGCGGAACTGGAACCTCTGGCAGTCAAGTCAAGGATGAGCGTACTGGACTCCTCACTTCTGCCATGCTCCTTCTTCTCTGACTGGAGCTTCTCTGCTTCCCTCTGCTTCCCATCCTCCTCTATCATTTTTTAATTTCTTTTCCTGCCATGAAACTAATTTCTTTCATATTCTTTGGCCAGGTAGAATTAGGAGGATCCCACCCTCCTTTTCTCCTATTACCTTATCATCCCAAACTTCCTTTTCTGTTTTGGTCTTTATGAATATATTTATATGGACAGAATTAAGAAAAACTAAATTGATTTCCCCTTCCTCTCACTTACCCCATCTTGTCACCCTAAATCTCACAGAGTTAAAACTTGGGCCTCCTCCCACCCCCAGAACACTTGTATATTGTTTGTTTGAGGTTCGTGCCACAGTAACAGACACAGTATTTAATTGCACATACAGATGTTTGCTGGATATATTCACTGTAAATTTTATTTAATCTGATTTTTTGTTTGTTTGGGGGTTACCTGGGGGGAGATTGGTTTTGTTTTTAAATATAAAAAAAAAAAAAAATTCTGTCACTGGACGTCAGTCCCTGTTTTTGTTGCCGCCCTGGTGTGGTTGGGGTTGGAGGTTCTTGATTAGTTCAGTTCCACAGCTGTTGGTGGAGGGTGGGTGATGTGGGTTGGAATGGCTTTCCCTAATTACATGCACACTATTCCTTACTTCCTCCCCTCCTTGACCACAATTCTGGTTTATGTCTGAGTTTCTAATGGAGCATTGGTTCTGGGCTCTCTTAACTCTGGACCAATGTGTCATTATTAAAATGAAAAGCTTGGATTGACCTCTAAGGTTCCTTCTAGCCTGTTAATTCTATAATACTCATTTACAGTCCTAGTGGCTGAAGTAAAGCAGAGGTGGGGGCCTTGTAGAGATATGGGTCCAGAACTTATCTAAGATATTGTTCCCATATTCTGTTTCATCTTCTAAAAACCCTTCAAAGAGGAGTATTTGGGTCTTTCTTTAATACTAAAGCCAGAAGATTCGCTTCTACAGAGTGAATGCTATGTGAAAGCTGTATCAGCAGAACTTACGTGAACAGATAAAATATTCAGGTGTGCTTAGCCCTCCCTATGCATTTGAAGAAAGAAGAAGAGAAGTCATCCCACCTTCAAGATGGAGCTTTTCCTATATCCTGGGCTTCTCTAGGTTAGCACTGTTGACAGGTAGCCCAAGGGCCTTACAGAGCATATAGCCTCAGAACCAACAGAACTCAGCTACCCTTGTGAGAAAGCAGAACAGTGGGTGGAAATGGCAAGGCAGATTGCCTTACAAAACTCTTGGGTGGCAGTGTCTTTAGGCAGACTCCTCTGAGGCTTATCTGACTTTACCTCTAACCTAATCCTCTATTTCTTACAGATACAAGGGATAGTGCAGTACTACATTGCCACCTGTAAATTTTTCCCCCTCTCAGATAGGAATATCTCATCTTCCAGCCATGTCACATCCCAAAGAATAGGAAGCAGCAGCATTCCTGTGCGATAACAGTGACAGCTAATTCATTGGCCCATCAGTTCATATACTGAAGTCAGGAGAGAGATGGAACCAGAAGAATCAGATTGATTTATGGGGTGTGAGGTATGGCCATCCTGTCTCTTAACAGTTTACAGTCCTCATGAGAAGGGAGACATTATTTACAGATAAGCAAAACTCCCTATGTGGCATCTACAGTCTTCTGTCCACATTTAACTAGACCATCACTACCGGGTTGTCAGACCCTCACTCTTCTAGAGCCTCTCAGATATCTCTGAGTTGCCCTTCATGTTCCCTTTATCCTTGAGGGCAAGGTTTTTGAGGGAAAGATGTGTCTGGAAGCTGCTAGCTAGTGGGAATAAAGCAGTATTGTAGATTATGTAGTCCATTGCAGAGGAAAACATGAAAGCAGTCCTGTCTAGCTGATAGGAGAGCTAAGGATTCACTTCCTTTCTTGCCTAAAAGAGTTTCCAGCTCCTCCCTTCCAAAAACCTTAAGAGTGGGTTGATGCTTGAGCTTACAAAAATACATGGTCACAAGAAGATGTGGTTAAGAAGTTGAAGTCTGTAGTTCCTAAAGCAGGTCTAGGGAGTCTGGAATTTGGGAAGTTCTTGTCCCCTGGGAAATGAGATGAAGAATCCCATCAGAAATTGATTTTTACTTCACCTTCATTCACCTAAAATCCCCTCAGGTGGTTATACATCTTAAAAACAAACCATCTCCTCATTCCTGCATTTAACCAGTACCTACCTGCTCACCATAGACAAGAAGCAGGGAACAGCAACTCTGGGGAAATGGGAGGGGTTAGGGTCTAGTCCTCCCCGTGTCCAATTTCTCTGTGTCAGCTGTGTTGTTCAGCTGTCCACTTTCCTCCAGCCCTGTCATTTCAGCTCTGACACCAAGGAGAGAGACTAGGAGGCCTACAAATACCATCTGAGCAGCCGGTGTGAGTACAGAGGGTGCTGGGGGGTGCTCAACACCCAGGAAATGGCTGATCCTCCCCTAGCAACACCACCAAGGCCCCAGGGGATCTCATACCTCCCTCCCTCCCCCAGGTTGTGGACTGGTTAGGGAATTCCAAATGTAAGTCGCCTCCTCTTTCCATTTCCAGGACTGCTCACCCCAGCTTCTCCAATCCTTAATTTAGTCAACGTTTTCCTTTCTCATTTTTGAGGAATTGCTATTATTCTACTCCCGAACTAGAGCTTGGATTGGAGGGCGGATGGGGTGGGGTCAAAGGAATGAAGGAGTAAGAAAAGGAAAGGCTCATATTACTCTGAAAACTTAAAATAGCTGATGCCCAATGCAGGCTGGGATGAAACTAGGCAAGAGGCCCCCAGGGCGCAAAAAGAACGTAGAAGATAATGTCCCCAGCCCATCTCTCTATGCAAGCAGTGTACCTGCCCCTTAAACCTCTTGAAGAAAGAGGATCTGGTAAGGCATGTCATAACTGTAGTGTCCACAGTCTCCTGGAAGAAGCCGCATACCTGTGGGGGCATCCCCAAACCTGTAGCCTTGAACACAGGGAGAATGGGTACTTGTCTTGATTGGGAAGTTCTTTGGTTTCTTTGGCTATATGTAATGTTTTTGTGTATCAGTCCTGTGGAAGGATCTCTGTTTAACCAAATCTCTCCCAAAGCCTTCCCTTCAAGAACCCTACAGCAAGGGAGAGGAATAGAGGAGCATATAATGGCAATCATAGATTAGATTTCACAGTAGGGTCCAATCTCTTGCAGGATGACAGAAAAGGAGGTGCTGGAGTCTCCTAAGCCCTCCTCAGCAGAGACTCAGCAAAGTGGGGTGAGTCTGGGCCTCTGAGCATTGGATGTGGGGCACTGGGAGGGAAGTCATGACAGTTCTTAAAAGTACCAAAATTGATCTCGTTTATATGTGACTTACTTATTGTTAGACTGCCAGTCATAGTACATGCAGCCCCTAATATCCCCTAACCCTAGGGCACAGGTGCTAGAAAAATGCCCAGTGAGTTTTAGCATCACAAGTTCCAGAGAAGGTGACAGTTATTGTAACATTAGATTCCCTCCTTCCCCCCTTCAGCTCCAACGGCTGAAGCAGTTGTTCAGGAAGGGATCTCCAGAGACAAAGGAAATGGAGCTTCCCCCAGAGCCCCAGGCCAACGGGGAGGCAGTAGGAGCTGGGGGCGGGCCCATCTACTACATCTATGAGGAGGAAGAGGAAGAAGAAGAGGAGGAGGAAGAACCACCTGCAGAACCTCCGAAGCTTGTAAATGACAAGCCTCACAAATTCAAGGATCATTTCTTCAAGAAACCAAAGTTCTGCGATGTCTGTGCCCGGATGATTGTGCGTGAGTCATGAAAGGCAGTGGACAAAGTATGACATTGAAGGCTGGAGTGATGGGAGGGAACATTAAAGAGAGTATGTTTAGAACAGACAGGCTGTGCCAATATTTGGCTTTAATAAAATACTATTAAGAGTGTGAGAGAGTGTAAGGTCCAGAAAAGAGATCCCAAGAATTAAAATAGCAGTGGTACAAAAGGAAGGGGAAATCATTAACTTCACCCAAATGTTCTTCCCCTCTCCCAAGTCAACAACAAATTTGGGCTTCGCTGTAAGAACTGCAAAACCAACATCCATGAGCATTGCCAGTCCTACGTGGAGATGCAGAGGTGCTTTGGCAAGATCGTGAGTAGGCTCTGGGGAGACCAAAGGCAAAAAGGGGGAGGACAAGTTGCCTTCCAACCCTTGCCAGCCCCTTCGTGTCATTCATTTTCCTGCTTTTTTTCTTTCTCAGCCCATCTTACTCAGCAAAGGGGTGAACATATACTGGGAGAGTTGGGGCTCTGAGTCTTACTTTGCTATTTCTAATGCTCCTTCCCATCCCATCCTACAGCCCCCTGGTTTCCACCGGGCATATAGCTCCCCACTCTACAGCAACCAGCAGTACGCTTGTGTCAAAGATCTCTGTAAGTGCCCCATATCGGACCTGAGGGAATGGGCAGAGTAGAGGTGATTTCAGGAAGACCTCTAACTTTGGAAACCAAATTCCAAAACAGATTCTATGCCCTGTGATTCTCTGTAAACCTAATCTTAGCCATCTCAGATGGAACCATAATTATTTCCCTCATTTTTAGTGAGTGCCATACGTACCTGGAAAGAAGCAGAGACAAAATGGAAGTCTTTTTCTATTGATTTTTTAAAATATCTTTGCTTTTTAATTTTAAAACTAGTCCCAAGTAAGAGCAAAAATTCTATTCTCATCCTTTTTTCAAAATAAGTAATGCCAGATTTAGAGTGAGAAAATGGTTGGCAGTCTTTGAAAACTTATTCATTGGAACTTTGTCCAACATTTATTTGGAGTAAAGGCTGAACTCTGTGAGGACCATGAGTGATAAGAAGAACCCATAAGTAGAAAAAGAACTCCAACTTGTGTATACCTCTAAGCAGAGCACAAGCCACCTGTTAAAGGACCCACTATCCTTAGAAGTGTAGTGATCACTTGAACATGCCCCTACTTCAAAGCAGTTTACCAAAGTTGTCAACTTTAATATTTGCCTGGAAGGAGTAGTGTTGGTTAAAAAATTTTAACCATATAAAAATTTTTTATTTTATATAAAATTTAACTCCCATTACATGTCCAGTGTTGTTTTTAGGGTCCTTTATAAATTGATAACCCAGGTTTTGTCTGCCTAACCCTTTTTATAATCTTCCCCTGTTCCATGGGTATCTAACTACTCAGTCCCATCTCTGTCTTCCTTTGTAGGTCTTTTCTTTCCTCCAGACCTTTCTTTTCTTTGTCTCTTCAGTAATTTCTTCCTTCTTTCTCCTTCCATTTCCACTAGCTGCTGCTAATCGCAATGACCCTGTGTTTGAAACCCTGCGTACTGGGGTGATCATGGCAAACAAGGAACGGAAGAAGGGACAGGCAGATAAGAAAAACGTGAGAGCGCAATACCTCCCCCACTGAAGTTCCTCACAGAGACCACGTGGAATAGATCATACCCCAACTCTGGAAGCTATGGATCCCTAAAAATATCACAACACATTTTTGTATGTTATTTTAGGGGTTTTGTCTTGATGCAGCTCACTGTAGTTCTCAGGTTAACAGCGCCTTATTAACATGGAATATGTTTTCCCCAGAATTTCCCTTCTGAAACTTTTAGGTTAACCATTATAACCACCTGGAAGCTAAGCCCTGGCCCCTGGCATTTTGGGGGTGCCAGACATTTTTTTTATCTGGGCAGTAGAACTTGTGCCAAGCAATCAAATAATGCTCTAGTTGTGCAAGGATCCATGAAGGTCATTTCAGTCTGGCCCATAAATCTTATATATGGGAAAACTGAGGCGTAAAACTATAGCAAAGACCAGCTTTATTTCCTTTTTCAGTTGCGTTACTGGATGCCATAGACTTAGTGCTTGCCAGTTGATTAAGAACTCAGAATATAACTTTGTGGACAGCTAGGATGGACTAACGTGGAAAATGTTGCGCGCCTTGCCTGTCCAGCAGGAATAAGGACACAACACACCAACGGTTCCTTCTCACAGCGGTTTACTCAGGAGTTTGGTTACAGAGGGTGGTGGAAGATGGAGTCTCTTTTCTTTGAAGATGTAGTCTCCTTTCTTTGAAGATGTAGTCTCTCGTCCCTTCCCCGGGTGCAGCTTTTATCCCCTTCTTGGTACTCCACCCATCACCTATGTGTCATGCCTCTATTGGACCATTAATCCCACATGAGATCAAGCCATCAACCAATGAGAACTCTGTGCCCAAATAAGGTCTTGTTTGTGTTTAAGGCAAACAAAGAGAAGCAGGAAATCAGCGCCATCTTGTAATGGCGACCAGCGCCATCTTGTAATGGAGGACCATGCGGCCGTTCATGGCCCTCCACAGGAAAATAGTTAGATGATTTTCTATAACTGATTATATGACAGTGCCCAAAGGGTGTTGGTGCTTTAGTCTGTCCAACTAAGCAGAGGTTTCTGTTGTCTCTGAACATGATTTAGTTGGCATTCTTCTCACTGAAAACAAACCTTCTTACAGACAGCTTTAAAGATAGGACATGAAGTTTCTATACAGAGTAATATTACTCAAAATTTTATAGGCTAGTAGACTGGTTTAAAACTAATAATTTGAAATTTTGTAAGGATAAATGTCTATATTCTTAGATTTTTTTTTAAAGGAGGAAAATAAAACCAATCAACTTCATAAAAACCTCACCTCAAAATGGTTGACAAGGAAGGCAGACTAGGGACTTGGAGAGTGGACTATGCTGATTAGGCACTTAGTAATATGGTTTTGGCTGGTTCTAGAAAGTTAGCACACTTTTCTACTAAGGGAATAATAAAAACACTGTCCCTTCCCCACCCCCTTACATCCTGGGATATTTCTAGGGCTGGATTGTATTATGAAATCTGAATCACAGAGGGTGATTTGAAACGTCATATCAATTGTCTTTAGATCATTTAAAAGGATTATATTTTTTTCTACTTCTAAAAGTCAAATCGTAACCAGTAAGTCAAAACTACGAGGAGACTGCCATAGGCTAATAGAGGGAATTGCCCCAAATTGTGTGAGGTTGCTTTGTAAGGTAATAAGCTTAGAAGTCTTCATTAGGCAGGATAGGTTGAACTAGTTACTTCCTCCAAGTCTCCTTCCAACTCTGAGATCATATTCTATTCTCTGGCCTGCCATGAAGAACCAGGACCAACATGCTTCCTAATTCTGGTACTCCCTCTAGCCTCTAGCAGCCATGATGGAAGAAGAACCAGAGTCTGCCAGACCAGAAGAAGGAAAACCTGAGGCTGGTGAGTGTCACTCACCTCTCTCCCCAGACAGGAATGGAGTAGGGTCAGGGATTCAGTGGTCGGATGGGATGGAAGAACAAAGGTCAGGCTAGTCTTGGAAATTAGGATCTTTATCAGAAGGGTGAGACAATAAGGGCTGTCCTCTAGGAGTCAGAAACGACTTGTCATCTTTCGCATCCCAGGAAACCCTGAAGGAGATAAGAAAGCTGAGAAGAAGTCACCTGATGACAAAGTGAGAATCCTTCTTGAATGAATGAACCCTAGTCCCCTAGTCCTCTCCCCAGCTCAGGTCTAACAATTGTCAGGTCCTCCGCAGCAGCTCATACTTCTCCCTGAGTCCTTTTCATTCTTGACCAGCGTGCTGCACCACACACATGCCCTATGATCCACCACCACTCAAGGGGCCTGGAAAAAATAGGAATGTAATGTGTCTGGAGGACGCCCCTGCTCAGACTCCCATCCCTCAGTGTGGGGCAGAGGGGCAATTGGAACTCATTGCTCCCTCTCACTCCTAGAACAAGCAGCCTGGTTTTCAGCAGTCCCACTACTTTGTGGCTCTCTACCGGTTCAAAGCCCTGGAGAAAGATGATCTGGATTTCCCGTGAGACGCTGGTGGGGAGAGGGGTACTGTAGTGTAAGGGGAAAGGGAAGAACTGGGCTCCCTATCGGAAAGGTGAAGGGGGCTCAGGGTAGAGCCTTTTTGGGCTGGGGTTGAGACCTGAGCTGAGGAGGAAGCTCCTCAATCCCAGTGGCCTCCTTTCCTCTCCTAGGCCTGGAGAGAAGATCACAGTCATTGATGACTCTAACGAGGAGTGGTGGCGGGTAAGAGAAATGCCTGGGGCTAGGGTGGGACACGGGTTCAGAGTTTAGAGCCTAGTGCTTGAGAGGTTGATTGTCCCTACCATCACCCCTAGGGGAAAATCGGGGAGAAGGTCGGATTTTTCCCTCCAAACTTCATCATTCGGGTCCGTGCTGGAGAGCGCGTTCACCGCGTAACGAGATCCTTTGTGGGGAACCGCGAGATAGGGCAGATCACTCTCAAGAAGGACCAGGTACCCCAACCCATCCTCGGGTCTAGATTGTTCCACGCTCTTTGGAGATCTTAGTCCATTAATGAGTCTAAATAGGTCTCCTTAACCCTGGACTTCGCTACTCTCCTAATGTTTTCCTTTAATGCCTCTTCTCTCACTCCCCTTAAACCTCCCAGATCGTGGTACAGAAAGGAGATGAAGCCGGTGGCTATGTCAAGGTCTACACTGGCCGCAAGGTGGGGCTGTTCCCCACAGACTTTCTGGAGGAGATTTAGGGGTGCAGCCACCTGCTGTGGAGAGAGAACCCTTTCCTCATCCTGGGCGGGGCCCAGGATGAAGAAAGGAGCAAAGGCAACTGAACTGAGGAGGGGAGTGGGAGTGAGAAGGCCCATTGGGAAGGAACTGGTTCCACCCCAACCCCCACCTCCCACCCCAGCCCCATACTTGGTGCCTAGCGCAGCCAGCACGTGCTTCTGAACCTGCATCCCCTCAGACTCGGTCTGAGGAAGAACAAGGATGCCTCTCCACCTGGAGGCATGGGGGAGACGACTAAATACTGATGATGTGCGTTTATTAAAGTTTTGACAAAAGTTAGGAAAGTTCCATGTCTAAGATCTGTGGGGGCGGTAAGGATAGGAAGGGGTGGCAAATCCTTTCCAGTGGTCCCACTGCACTGTCATCGGGTAGCCTGAAACACCGAGGCAAAGTCTAGGGGAAGGTGAGAAGACAGGTGCATCTGCCAGGTGAGGCTTCTTGTCAATAAAGAAAGGGACTGTAGTTAGCATCTCCACCCCAGATGGGAGTCGTGAACCGAGAACCAAAGCCAGGTTCAGCTCCTAGCTGCCCTTTCCCTTTCGGAACCTGGCTCAGAGCGGATATGAGCCGCCAGGGGGCGATGCAAGATCTCTGCTGGAGAGCAAGGAACCTGGAAGGGGGAGAGAACCAAAGACATGAAGACCCTCGGCCTAGGAGGGGATGGGGTGCGTGCCGTCTCCATGGCAACATTTCTTCAAGTCCTTGGGGAGCAGAGTGAGTGAGGCCTGGAGGGGGGCACTACCCCCTCCTGCACAGTCCACTCCCCAACCCTTTCCGACAGGTATGGAGTAAAAGGGCGCAGGGCAGACAGCTCCCCAGCTTTCACCAAGACCCCCCTGCGGCGCTCTGTATGCAAATGGTATTATTTGCATATGTAAATATGCAAATATTCAGGCCCTGGTCAGGGCGGCAGGTGGCTGAGCGCTGCAAAGTGTGGGGAAGGGAGCAGAAGGAGATGAGGAGTTTGGGGACCTGGGAGCAGACTAGTGAGAGGAAGCCTGGGGTGGTCGCTGGAGTGAGGCGGGTGGAGAGTCTAGTTCGATGGGGGGTGGGGGAGGGTCAGCGTGGCCAGCCGGGAGCCCCTCATCTCTTCTGCCGGTTGTCTGCCAGGCCTGAGGTTGGCACCGCCTGGCAAGGTTGGCAGCAGGAGCCCGAGCACCATCTGCTGATGATGAAAGGGAGGAGGGCAAAGGCTCAGCTGGGCTGCGAGGAAGGGGGCCTAGGACTGACGTGCCCCTTTTCCTTGCAGAAGGCTGAGGTGCAGAGGGGGTAGGGACAGAGGCTGAGGTGTGGAGGGGGTAGGGAAGTGCAGAAGACTAGCGCAGAACTGGGTTTGGTCTCCTGTTCCGCCCTTGACTGTCCTGGGCACCTGGGAGAGGCTCTGCGGTCATAAAAGGACGACTCAGGAAGCCTACCTTTAATCAGCTCGAATAGGAGCAGACCCAGACCCCAGGCCTCTCTGACCAGACTGTTATGTGCAAATCTCTTGCCTCCATCCACCTCGGAGCCCGCCTTATCACAAATGTGGGAAGACGCGATGATGAAAGTTTCCATTGCCTTCCTTGATTCAGCGGTCTGAGGGACTCAAAACCAACCAGAGCCCCACAAGATCCCTGAGAGGGGCCCCCCATAATGCTGAAGCAAAACCAATTTACTGGCTCATTGGGCGCCAGTGCTGGTGGGGGGTGCTAAAGGAACAAGAAGAGGCTGTTCTCCCCCTACACTCGGAGGGGCGCCCCGCATCCCCGCCTCGCCGAGCCGGCAGCTGTCCCTAATTAGAGCGGCGGTTTAATTGGATTTATCAGCAGTTAATAGGAAATTAAGCAAAGGGCCCGAGAGGTGGGGGCAGGAGGAGCGGGGATGTGGGTTGTGTGAGCTTAGAGAAGGGGTGCTAGGGTGCCAGTGACAGGAACTAAAGGCCTGATGCCAGGATCAAGCCCCATGGTCATGCCCTCCACCCCCATCTGGCAGTTAAGCCTTGGTTCGAGGGCTTGAGAACAGGTCCCAGGAGAGGACTGCGGGGGGGGGGGGTGGCAATGCCTCCACTCCCTTGAGAGTCCATGTAGGTGATGGATGATGCTGCCATATGCAGCAAAGGTCATAAGTCTGGGCCAAGAAGCGGCCTGAATTGAAAACAGACCAGACTGGAGGAGGGATGGGGGTGGGGGTGGGCAGAATTCAAGACACAACCCCCACTCCATCTCCTCACTACAACCCCCATCTCTTTTAGCCCCCCCCCCCAAAAAAAATGCCCCTTGAAATAATAAAATTGGACAGGAGAGGTGGCAAGAAGGCCAGTGTGACCCCTGCCTCATGACCCGTGTTGGATATTCTGGAAGTCTCCCAGTGCAGCCCTTACTCTCTCCCTGTGGCTCCCTTGTTCGCGTCAAAACTGCCCTGAACAAGGTTGCGTGGGTCTGCTACCCCTAGGGGCCAGGGCAGGAAACTTACAGGCTGACCCCAACCGACCGGACTCTCGGCCGAGCAGAGTCAAACCGAGGCGCATAGGCTATAGAGTGAGTCCACAGCCTGAGGCGCCGCCTGTCACCACGACCTCATTATACACTGCTAGGCTAACGAGGCCTGCTCTGCTCACGGGGACCTGGGCGACCTCGCTGCCACACTCCACCCTTGCCAGACGCAGGCTGATCCATGGGTTCTAGCTTGAGCGGGGTGGGGGGGGGCGTGGCGGGGATGACTGAGGTTCTGGCAGTTTTGCGTGTCTAAGCCCCTAATGTGGATCTTATATCTGCCCCCCCAAGCCCCCTCCCATGTTCGCAGTGCATTTATCTGAGCTCTGGGTGTGGTTTATGTGTCCGTATATGTGTCTCCTGGGGTCTGGGGTGTGTCTGTGTCACTGTGACCAAATCTGTCAGGTTTGCCCGTGTCCCCACCACACCACCTCCATAATTTCCGTCTGCACCCCTAGGTGTCTCGGTTTTAGGGCGTGCATATGTGCTTTATTGTGTTTGTATGTTTGCCTCTTTGCACCTGGGTGTGTACACGTATGGCCATTTCCATGTATCTGTCTGCAGGGCTCTGTGTGCGTGAATCAGGAAGATCCACTAGTGTGTGTTGCTCTGGCGTCTCCGCCTGCAGGTGTGTGTCTTGGTGACAGTGTGTGGGCGTGCGCCTGGGTGTGAGCCTCGCAGCAGCGTGTACTCGAATGACAGTGTGACGGGCATGTGAGTGTGTGTGTGTGTGTGTGTGTGTGTGTGTGTGTGTGTGCGCGCGCGCGCGCTTGCTTGGGTGCGTCTCCCGCCTCCTCCCCTTCTCTCCCTATTTCTATTCCTCTCTCCTCTCGCGACCGGCTCGGCTCTGCCGTCCGCATCATCTCCATCCATTATTGAAGAAACAGCCGCGTCCGCTCCAATCACATCAACACCCCCGCCTTCCCCCCACCATCGTGCTCGCCCCGTGGCCCCTCGGGGTGCTGGGGAGGGGAAAGCCGTGGTGCGGCGGGGCGCCAGGCGGGGACTGGTTCATGACCCTGTGCCCAGAGCCAGCCCAGGCTCCGGGACGCCCGGGTCCCTGGCGGAGAGTGCTTTGCATAAACAGATGGTGCGGGCGTCTTTGTCTCACTCGCTCGCCCGCCGAGCTCCCGGCTCCGCGGCTGTCTGGCTGATGCAATCATGATCATCTCAGAGCCTCCTCAGGACCCAGCGCCCTTAATAGCTGCAGAGGGGGCCAGGTGCCCCAGGGCTCCCGAACAGATGCTGGGCACTGTTATCTTCCTGCCCCTCCGCCCTCTTCTCGCCCCACAGCTGTAGAAGGAAGACGAAGGCAGTACCGAGGTGACGGGCAAATGGAGGTGACCGGGAGGAGGACCTCAGGAAGTGCCCCTAAGTGTCCCCAGGGCTGTCCCCTTGGACTGCTGCAGCCTCCAGGGATAGCAAGCCAGAGAATACGAATAGAGCTTGGGCTAGGGAAGGGGGAGATAAAAAACCATTTGTAAAGAGACACAGGGAAGTAGAGAAGATGTAGAGGGAGAGACAAACCAAAACAGAGAGACTGAGAAACCAAAGCAGAGCAACTAAGCCAGGTAGAGGACTGCAGAGGGAGAGCAGAAAGACCAAAAATTATGAACACAGACACCGAGAGAGAGCGGTAGACTGGGCCTGGTGAAGTGGTCAGAAAGGACAATCAGAGGCAGTGACAAGCAGGGTCAGAGAGCAGCGACTACCCTACAGTGGAGCCCAGCTTGCGACACAGACACAGCCCAATCCCGCAAAAACAGGCAAATGAAACAGGCACTTAAAGGTCCTGTCTCCGTCCCACACCACACCACACCACACCACACCACACCACACCACACCACACACCCCGACCACAGTGTCCGGAGAAGCAGGCTAGGTATGGACACACATGCTGGGTGCGACTGACTTAGCAGAGAGCATCAAAGTAGAATGGGGCGATGCAGCAGGGGACGCCCGAAACCTCACCCACTAGTGTTTGGGAGCTGCTCGACCTCCAGGGGGCACCGCGCCCAAAGCCCCTGGGGTGCCAAGAGTATTTAATAGGCGGTGTCATCCAGGACCCTAGCGGTGTCATGGTTGAATATAGTGCTTGTTAGGCTCCAAAGTCCGGTCTTGCTGAGACCCTTGCTGCCCCCAAGCTGCTGCTCCTCCTGCCCTTCCTTATTCCTGCTCTGTCCGCCAGCATGCCTGTGTCTTTCGTGGGGGAAATGCGTTCATCAGAGTGCAGTGGGATCGGGAACCCAGAGTCCTCTGCCCAGCCCCAAAGACCATGATCCAGAGATCAAGGAGGGAAGTGGCTTAGAAACACTGACACAGAAAAGAGTCAGAGACCCTTGAGAACTAAAAGCAAGTGGCAAATAATGTGTCATTGGGAGACTTGAACAAGAGGAAGAATACCATAAAGGAGCTTGGGATGCTGAAGCTGAGAGCCCAAGGTGGGAGGACAGCTGCTTGAGAAGCAAAACTGAAAGCCACCACCGGGACATGTCAGGCTTGGGTCACCCGAAAGCTGAAGAAAGGGCACAGGGGCACTAACTAGAACCTGAGAGAAGAGGGGTGCAGAAAAGGGCCAGGCATCCTTCAGGCGTTTTGGCACCCCAGCTGTGACTCAAAGAGCCAGCTGTGCAGCCCAGCTGTGCATCTACTTAAACTTGAGCTTCGGGATTGATTTTTAGTCCCTGAGACTGAAGGGTCACGGAGTGCAAGTGGGAGGAGGCCCCCTTTCCAGGCTGGTCCGGCAGGTGGAGATGCCCTGTGAGGACCGAGCACCCCGCCTGCTGCTAGCGGGTCTGACATGCCGTCAGCCCTCCTCCTCTGTTCCACACACACATCGCTGTGAGTCTCTTGTCTCTTTGTTCTTGCCGTGTCTCTGACACTTTATCTCATTATCCGCTGGAGGGAGGAGGAGAGCCCGGGACCCTGCAGCCTAATTACAGCTGCGCTTGTCAGCTGGGGAAGGGGAGGGCGCTGCTCCCAGAAAGGGTCCCCTCCCTTCCTGGATCCCAAGGAGCCCAGCAGAGAGGCACAGCTCGCTCCACAAGGGTGAAGTGGCAAAAAAAGCAGCAGAATCTGGAGCCTGGGGATGGCTAAACATGGGAGTGGAGAGAGTCTATTAAGACTTTTTCCTGCATCCCTAGGACCCCAATTCCCTAAAGATAGGGACTGGGAGCCTTCTCACCCTGGCAGTATACCTGAGTTGGTGACATCAACAGACGCAGTGGAGGCTCTGTTCTGTCTCCATGTCTTCTTCTCTGCCTCTGTCAACATCTTTCTATCTTTGCTTGACCCTTTCCCGCAATGCATCCTCTTTCTCTTCTCACACCCAGAGACAGAGACAGAGTCCTTATGGGTCCATCTTTATGTCCACTGGAAGTAGGCAGCATAAACAAGTCTCTCAAGCACCAAAACCACATCAACTGACTTATTCTGTCTTGAGCCTGGTTCCAGATTTGCCCCAGGCTCCTACAGCCCTCCAGAACAATCATACCTCACACAGCGTCCAGGACAAGGGAGACAGTGGCAGCTTAGGGCTGGCTGGCTGGCCCACTCTTCCAGGAAGACAGGACCATGACCTCTGGGACCGGCTAGCAAGAGGGTCAAGCAAGTGCTGCAGATGGTTTCAGGGCCTCTAGCCTCTCCTGTGTGCACACACCACCCATGTGTGCTTTGCAGGACAGTCTACCTGCCTGTCCCATCTCTGGTTTTAGATTCCTCTTGGTCTCTGGGTCCTGCACCTGTGGTGCTACTACTCTCTCAGACCCCAAAGTCTTAGGTATAATGGTCCAGGGTGAGGGTGGGGGGCAGGGTTAGGGTTAGGTATAATGGTCCAGGGTGAGGGTGGGGGGCAGGGTTAGGGTTAGGTATAATGGTCCAGGGTGAGGGTGGGGGGCAACGTACAGACATCTGCAGGGGAAAGCCTAGGAGCAGGAACCTCCTCCCCTCATTCCAACAGTTTTCTTCTCTGCTTTGACCCTGGGATAAAGCAAGCTGGAAGTGGGTGGGGTGCATCTCAAGAGGCCGGCCCAGAAGGGCCACTAGGGGTTGGACTGTCCTGACCCCTCCCCAGTGGGGGCGGAACCCCAGGAAGACCCAGGAGCAGAACCCCAGACAGTACCAGACACTCCGGAGACATTATGGCAGGAACCAGTCTGGGGGCTTTCCTCTACCGACAGGTTAAGAAAAATCCGGGGGTGAGTCTGGTCTCCAGAGCCTCTAACTCCTAACTTTCTTGTCTCTCAAATTTTCGTCTTCCACAGCCTCTTGTTCTGTTTTCCCAAACTCCTAAACTTCCTCTAGGGTGGCCCCAACCCACACCTGCAACATCCCTAGTGTGTACTTGGTTGTTGGAAGGCCCCTCCTGCCCTCTCCCAGAAAGGATGGAGAACCAGATGAGGAGGTGGGGTGGAAAGGTCAGGCAGAAAAGCCGGTAAAGGGAAATTGTGAACCACAGGAGAAGGGCTGATCCTCAAAGTCCCCTCCTTCTTCTCTGCAGCTTATCCCCATGATTGGCTTCATCTGCCTGGGTATGGGCAGCGCCGGACTTTACCTGCTGCGACTTGCCTTGCGCAGCCCAGATGTTTGGTAAAGGTCCAACTGGGGTCTTGGGCAGAGCTTCTGGGCGGAGGGGGCAAGATGGAAGGCTTGGACCTCTGAGGGACGGTGGGAATGGGTGGCCCTAGCGGGCATCCCCAGGCCAAGCACCTTGGACAGTACGGCTCTTCTCAGAGCTGGAGCTCCCAGTCCAGACTCCACCTCCCTCGGGCCCAGCAGGGCCTCACTCCTGAGCTGCTCCCAACTGGACCCGCTTCGGGGTGGTGGAGCCAGCGCCGCTCCCGGCCCGGTTGCCATGGCGACGTAGCTCTGCCCGCTGCCGCTGGCCTTAGGGTTCTGCTATCTCTACGCCAATCACAGGGGGTGTGGCTGGGTGAGAGGCTGGGGGGCCCAGGGTGGCACCATGGGGGGGTCAGGGTTGTGTGCAAGACTCTAGAAGAGCAGAAGGGAGAGGTGAAGTCCTCCCCTACCCACGTTATCAAGGCAAACCACAGAAACTCTATCCCCTTGGAATCAAGAACGCAGGGGGAGAAGGGCCCAGATCCCCACAGCCCAGCAGGGATAAAGCCAGGGTAGCAGGTGGGGCAGGTGACCGGCCATCACCGACCCAATGCTGACAAGGTTGTGTCTCACTGACCAGCATTCACTAAAGAGACCCTCTCCTTCAGTATTTGAGAAAAGGGCACTATAGGGATTGCGGGAGGGAGTGGAGAAGCGGGGACCTGGCTGGATTGGAGAGTTACTTTAGGTTCCAGAGGCCAGGTACCCAGGGAGAGCCAAACCTTCCCCTTCATGCTTCACAGCTGGGATCGAAAGAACAACCCAGAGCCCTGGAACCGCTTGAGCCCTAATGACCAATACAAGGTACTGCTTGATGGCCCTAACACTGCACCCTCAAATGTTCACCTCTTGGTCTCAGAACCTACCCGTTACTGCCCCCTATACACAGAAGCCCGTGGAGCCCAGGGCAATTCCCTTCTCCTTCTCTTCCTAGTTCCTCGCAGTTTCAACAGACTATAAGAAACTGAAGAAGGACCGACCAGATTTCTAAATCCAGCTGAATTCCACTGCTGGGGGGAAACTGCTGCCGCTTTGTTCCACTTGCGCTCTCAGCCCTCTACTCTGGCACCCCATCTAGCTTCGGTTAGACTTTGTTCCCACGAGGAGGGGGGAGCTCCAAGCCAATCCTCCTCCCTTGCTCCCAGCAGCGGAAGCACCTCTGACCCTCTGCTTGGATCCCATGAGGGGGAAGGGATGAAGGAGCTGACAGCATGAGATCAACCCAAAGCCCTAAGCCAGCTATTCCCTCCCATTCAGGCATTATAGGGTGTGACCTGGGCTACGTGTAGAGCGTGGCCTACGTGAGCCAGGAGAGCAGAAGCCTCTGAATGCCAAGTGACGTGGCGAATCCCATATTAGCCTGGGCTCTGGCCCAGGGGCTGTGTCGCTCTGACTGGACTGGGCTTGCCAGGGTCTGTTGAGCTTACATGGGATGGGGTACATAGCCTTGGGAAGGGCACCGCACTTGTCTTGGTGCTGAGCTTGCCAGGATGCCTTGTCAGGCTTCTCCTCCCCCTCATACCTGGACCTCCCCTTGCTGCTGCTCCCCACCCCTCCCTTGCTCCCCTTGTCCCCAGGGATCAAACAGAAGCAGCCGTGGGCAAAATACAATTTCATTTAACAAATTGAATTTGCTGCGCCTGCTAATCACGTCTGGTGTCGGCTCTGATCAGAGACAGAGAGAGGAGGCTGCAGCCCCGGGGGTCCTTATGGTGGGATTGGTAGGAGGGAAGAACACACTGAGGGAGACAAATCACCACCTGGCCCAGGGGACCTTTCCCACAGTAACAGAAACTCAGGGAGGGTCAGCATTTTATTAGATAAAAACAGGAAGGAGAGTGCCTACCCATCACTTCCTCTGGCTCAAAAAAGTAACTTCCCCCACCCCAAGAATGAGCAGGGAGTCTCTAACACTGATATAATGGCAGAGTTAGGGCAGAAAGCCCCAAACATCCCTTCTAAGTCTTATTACAAAAGTCTTCTTAGGTATGAATTCTCAGAAGAGGACTATACTTGACTCTTCCCCTAAGTTCTTGGCTCTTCTGATGGGGGCTTCATCCCCCAGCAGAAATCAGGACTACGAAAAAAAGTTTTTTAAAAAAATTGAAAAGATGGGTGTTCTTCTCCATTGGCCCCGAAGGGAGGAGGCAAAGTTGCTTCCATTCTTCAGCCTCATATCCTTGATGCCTTCAGTGCTCATCAAAACCAGGCATGGGAAAGGCTCTGGCAAACTGCTCTACCCGCTGCCTGAGGTCAGCCAGCCGCTGCCTTGTTTCTGGATCGTTGAGCAGGAAGGATTTGAAATCCTGGAGCTTGGCTACAGAGGGGTAAGAAAAAGAGTAGTCAGACTCTAGGGAAGAAGAAATGGAGGCTGCAAGTTGGTCAGAGTAGCTGGCTCTGGGGTTGTGCTCACTTACCAGTCTTACTCTTCACCTCCAAGCCAATGTTGACACCTTCATCTATAAAGTCCACAACTCTCCGGAAGTCATCCTCACGGAACTGTCGGGAGGTCAAGGCTGGAGCCCCTGGCAGTGAGGCAGAAAAGGAAAATTAACAATGTCCTAGCTAGCTCCCTGGCCACCAGTGGGGCACTTCTCCCCTCAAGCCCCAGGCTCACCGAGTCGCAGGCCCCCAGGAGTGATGGCACTGCGGTCTCCAGGACAGGTGTTCTTGTTGGCTGTGATTGACACAAGCTCCAACACCCGCTCAGCCCGAGCTCCATCTAGGCCTTTGGGTCGAAGGTCTACGAGCACCAGGTGGTTGTCAGTGCCTCCTAACAGAGGTACAATAATTAGGGAACACTGAGTCATCAGTAAGTCTCTGCTCAAAACTAGAGAAACTCTCACCAATCTCCCCTGGCTCACCAGACACCAATGAGTAGCCTCGCTCGAGCAGGGCATCAGCCATGGCCCGAGCATTTTTCAGAACTTGCAAAGAGTACTCCCGGAACATGGGGGTGCAGGCCTGGGGATAGAACAGGAGCACCTGTGAGCAGGCCTGGACTCAACCCGCCAACCTCACCCCCCCATCCTAAATCCCTCTCTGCACCAGCCCCAACTTCAAGGTGCGGGGCCTAAATCTCCTAGGCCAACACACAAGAACAGATCCCAACCTGCTTTAGGGCCACAGCTACTGCAGCAATGGCATGGTTATGGGGGCCACCTTGCAGTGAGGGGAACACAGCAAAGTTGATTCGGTCCTCAAACGTGTAAGGGATCTCACGGCCAGACTTGGGATCCACAGCACGCACCCCTTTACGGTAGAAGATAAGTCCTGACCTGGGTAGGGAGGAGGTGAGTGATCAGAATCTGAGTAGGTCGGTCAAAGGGTAGAAAAGCAGCAGAAGCTGACTGCCCTGGGCCCCTGTGGGCCTTCTGAGTCCCTTAGTTTGGTTCTGTGTGCTGGATCCAGCGATGGGTGGACTTCAGCTTTCCAATCCCACCAAGATCCCTGCCAGGGAACGGCCATCATGGACCAAGTGAAATAGTTACAGGACTTGGTAGAGGAGAAGCCTTCCGGGCTGCAATCAGGAATGAATTTCTTTCAGATCCAGCCCATCAATGTCCCAAAAGAAGGGCATGAAGGCAGGGAAACAGGCCTGATCTCAGGGAGTCTGACCTGGCCCCTCGAAGGGTCTTGTGAGTAGTGGTGGTAACAACATCCGCATGCTTGAAAGGTGAGGGGATCACCTTGGCAGCCACCAGGCCGCTGATATGGGCCATGTCTGCCAGCAAGTGAGCTTTGACCTCATCACACACCTGGAGGGTGAAGGCACAGAGGCAGGCCTCAGTTTGGGGAGGGCCTAAACAGGCCTGCCCAAGGCTGCGACTCCTTCCAAATCTCCCTTCACCCTGGGGGAGTCCCACCACGAACCTCTCTCATTCGGGCGTAGTCAATGAGGCGAGCATAAGCACTGGTACCAGCAATAATGAGCCGTGGTCGGAAAAGGCGGGCAGTCAGTGCCAACTGGTCATAGTCAATGAGGCCAGTTTGGGGCTGGACAGATGGACAGACAGATACACTGCTAAAGCCATGAGTGGGAAGTGAACAAGTCACTCTCCCTGTTGACCCTGACAACTGCTCAGGACACCAGCTCTGCACCTTCCCCACAAAGAGGGTTCCCAGGGTCCCCTGTCTCTGCACTCAAGAGCACTCACATTCAGTTTATAGGGCATGGATTCAAAGAAGATGGATGTGGCTGAAATCCGCTTGACATCAGACATGTAACCATGGGTGAGACTAGGAAAGGGGAAGAAGGAATTTTCAGAGTGAAATAACTCCCAGACATAACCACCTCCTTCCCCCATCAAGTTCTAAAGCTCCTCAAGGCCTGGCACACTACTCCTCCCAACTGCTCTTCCCCATTCTGTGGTGGACACTGATATTATTAGGATCTGAGTTTCCACATCCACTTCGGGATAGGAGTGGCCTGTTCCAATGAATCCTCTTCAAGAGCCATACTATCTATAGCTATCAAGCCTATCATCGCAAACATACTTACTGGCCCCCATCAGGCAGGTCCAGCCCCATGATTCGGTCATGGGGCTGCAAAAGGGCTGTATAGGCAGCTAGATTGGCTGGGGACCCTGAGTAGGGCTGGACATTGACTCCCCATTGTGCAGGATCCAGGTCAAAGGCTTCCAAGGCTCGGCGCTGGCACAGCAGCTCTATCTCATCCACTACTTCTGCTCCCCCATAATATCTCTTGCCAGGGTAACCCTCCGAGTACTTGTTGTTCAGACAGGACCCCAGGGCCTCCAGCGCAGCTCGGCTGCAGAAGTTCTGTGGGGGGGGTGGTGGTGGCAATGTCAACCTTCTTGTTCAGAAGGTATGGTGCCCCTTCCCTTAAACCTTTTCCCTGCAACAGTCCCCAGATGCATGGAGAGGTTCCACAACAGTGTTTTCTGCCAGGCCTGGGATAGGGTCAGAGCCAGTGTACTCAGAAACCCAGCTGCCATCATGGCTGTCCTAGTAAGCCATAAGCCATTTGAACCTATGCTTCTTTGACCTCCTTTCCTCTTAAGGAGGGCAAAGATCAAAACAGACGTGAAGGCTCTAGAAGGTCCACAATGTCCCCAGATATAATCTGAACTGGGTGTTCCTTTGCTTAAGGGGACAGTACAGAAAAGACTTAAGGCCTTGAATCTCAAAGGGAGATCTGGGGAAACATCAGGAAGATGACACAGTACCTCCCCTGCTTAGGGTGGCCCACCCCTGCCATGTCCCAGGTCTCACCTCTGAGGCAATGAGCTCCAGGCCACGACACTGCCTAGCCTTCTCCTTCTGTAGCAGCTCCCACATCTCAGGATCACTATCTGACAGGCTCTCCTGTCCTGTCCAGCTGCTGGCTGCTTCTCCAGTCTGAGTCTGGGCTGTCTTGCTGTGCTGGCCTCGTCTGGCCATCTTGACCAACTGACCACATCTCTGCAGAGGCTGGAGGCAGAAAAAGTCAGGAGCAAATAAAATCGGTCCTGACAAATCATCTCCAAACCACGCCTACTGACTGGCCTCTCTGCTCCAAACTATGGCCAGCTGTCCAGTCAGCCTGCTCCAAGTCTCACTACCCCCACCTCCACCTTCACAGTTCTGGAGCCAAGGAGATCAATGTCCAGGGGGTGGTTCCCATTCGGTCCATTTATTTAATCTCAGGAACCCCCCTCCCTCTCCATGCCCCCACACTGAAAAGCCTTAGGACAAAGACGAATATGCTGCTGGAACTCAAAAGAAAGCCACTAAGTTTCCAGAATAAAAGGTGGCAGGTCCTCCAAAAACCGATATCCCGGATAGGTGGGAAGATGCAGAGTTGGCAGGGCTAAAGCCCAAAAGCTGAGGCAGTTTCCAGAGCAATGGAGGTGGGAGAAAAGTCCTTTCTTTAGCAGTAACCGCGGAAAAGTGGGGGAAGGGAAGGGTGGCCACTGGAAGCAAAACCCCAACATCCTGTCTTCTGCCCCGCACCCAGCCTGTCCCTCCAGGCCCACGCGGGTCGCCTGATGCAAACACCGGGACCAGGTTACATCATCTGCACGGCTCAAAAAAAGATTCAGCTCTGGGGTCTGGGTCAGAAACTCTTCTCACTCATCCCAGGGTTCAGCGGACATCAGGCGCGATCCTCTCCACTAATGCCACGTGTAATAGGAGTCAGGAGACTAAGGCGTCTGGTCGCAGGAATGCGGAAGGGACCCCAGTTCACCCAGTGCGTGCCTAGAGGTCTCAAGGATTCCCCAGTTTCTCTTCGGCTCCCCGTTAACTCGGAACACGTGCATGGCCGACCAGGGGGAGCCCCTGAATTTGTGAAAAGGAACTGGGGAAAGAAGGGAACTTCTTTTACACTTGTTACCCAGTCTCCAGAGCCCTGGAGTCTTACCCGGGCCGCCGAGAAGAAAGTGAAGGGCATCATCGCAGCCCCAAGTCGCCGGAGGTGCAGGACTAACTCTTAAATTGAGCAGAAGAGTTGGCCGGGCGACCGATACAAGAGCGCATGCGCAAGAGCCACAGCGCCAACAGGAAGAACCTAGCGTGCGTGGTGTGGCCTTTTGGGAATTGTAGTTCTTTCCCGCTTCTTCCGCCTCGCTCCCAGTGGGCTGACTCTGGTCGGTAACCCTATCTTAAAAGAAGATAGCTTTTGTGAACCCACTTCGCTGTTTTTTGAAGCCTTATAAGTTTCCTTCCTGTCAGTTTCCAAGCTTTTTTCCAAATCTTTTTAGATTTCTTAGATGTCTAGTGAATACCTATCAAAAGACTCCCAGACATGATGGTTACGGGATACAGGAAAATGGTATGGGAACAGCAAGAGAACTGAGTTTAAATTCTCAGCAACTAGCAAACTGGACTAACCCACAAAACTGAAGTAACCAGCAAATCGGGGCCTCAGTAACCCATCGGGGTCTCAATTTTCTCACTTGGAAAGCGATTCTTGGGTTTCTGAGTTTTTGTAAAGGAACAGGCTTTGTGAATTGTCTTCCCCCTCTTCCTTGGCTTCGCAAACTTCATTATCTCTATAGTCATCTCACTTCTTCCTTGGACATCCCTGATCAGAGTGAGATGCCTGTTTTGCACTTGTTACAATTTGTTACCTTAACCAAACAGGCTAATTTGCCAGTTTCAATTATTCTCGCCTACCTCTCAAACCAGGCCTCAGAAGACTCCCATACCTCTAACTTCCTTCCCTCTGATCCTATCCCTTAGGCTCTCCGAGTCTCTGCAGCGATGACCCGGTGCTGGGAGAATATTAGGTTCTTCGCCATCCAATCCCTGATCCAGAACTACTTCCCACCAATACCCGTCTTTCAGTTCATGATGCACTAATTAATTTATATATCCACCTCTCCATTAAGTATCTATTTTCTGCTTTCGCGACTTTTCACTCTCAAGAATGTGTAGGTCAGACCTACCTCTGACTCAGTTTCCCACTACAGTCAATGTGCCATTCATTCCCTCGATAGCAGGGCATTCTCCGAGTCGGTACCTTGACCCTGGACTCGAGGCAGAGGAAGACGAGGAGTTGCTCTGTGCCTCAGCTTGTCCGAACCCCCCCCTCCCTCCGCCCCAGCCAGGGGTCCCGAGGGGAGGGGGGCGGCTGAGCTTGAGAACTGCTAATGAAGCCGCAGCCAATTAACGCCCAGGCCAGGGCTGGGGGCGGATAAAATTAGCAGCAGCGGCTGTTGGAGAGAGCTGGAGGCGGAGGTGGGGAGGGTGGGAAGGTGGGCAGCTGGCTGAAGGGGGCTGCTTTTGCCAGCAGCAAGCACTGGCGACACGGCCCTGCCTCCCAAACCAGCGCTCGTCCCTTCCCCCACCCCTTCATCCCAAACCTCCCTCCTTCTCTCCCTCATCTGTCTGCAAACTCAGCGCCCACGAAATTAGGAAGGAAAAAGAAGATCGATGACTCCAGATGCCGCAAACACCGTTCCCCCTCCCCCTTCTACCTGCCGCCTCCCGCCGGCCCCACGGAGCTTAGCAGGTTGTCAGCGCTCTGCCTACGCTGTCCCTCCATTTCTATCTCATTCAAGGCCTTAATCCTTCTTCTCTAGACTGAGTTCCACCGTCAGCAGTCAGTCCCTCCTCAGGTGTAATCCTCTATCTGCTCCACCTTCACTTCTAACATCTCTGGGAGGAGAATCACCCTCCCCCCTCAGGCAAAGATCCTACTCCCAAGGCCCATGAGACTAGTTCTGATCCAGTCTTAGATGGTTTCCAAGATCATAACTATGCCACTCTTTGCCTCAGTTTCCACAGTAACACCCAGGGAGGTGGTCCTGACTAGACAGGTGGTTCTGGCCAGATAAGTCTTCTAGACAGAAGCCCACACACACCCATGCCCTACAAAGGTCTCACACAGATGCATATTGGATTTCACTTTATTTTAGTCCCTTTCTCGTCTTTTTGGCGTAGAAAAACTATCACCGAGAGGAAGCAGCTAGAGACAGGTGGAGCTCGACTTGGAGGACCAGACAGAGGAGGGCAAAGGGTCAGGCCTATAGCCGGGCAGGCAAAAGGAGATCGGTGCAGGCCAGGGGTTTATGAGCGGCCAGTCTTTACAGGGAGTCAGGGTGAAAAGGAAGGACAAGAATCTGAAGGTAAGAAGTCAGGGTAGAAGGGGGCCAGGCCAGGCGTTTTAAAGCTGCGGGTTAAGGAGCGCCCGGCCCAGCGCCAGGGGACCCAAAGGGAATCCAGTGTAGACTAACGGGAACTGGGAACGCGTCCAAGTCCTGCCTACTCTGGAGCTGCGTTCTTGCCCCTTTACTGTGGGTAATACCTGAGGGAGTTATCCTCGTAAGCACCCCCATAAGAAAAAGGGGACCTAGGCCGGCTGATGGTCCCTAGGAGGACAATTTCCCTCCACCACTCCAGTGAATAGGGTAGACATAGCCACAGGAGTTGTGGGGGGACAAGGGAGCAAAGAGGAGGGGATGCACCTGGGGAGGCTAGAATAGGATTTGGCGGGAAGCTCAGGACCAAGGAGTCGGGGTTGGGATGAGGGAGGGGCGAGCTAGCCAAAGTAGGGATGCTCGCTCTGGAAGTTGTAGTCTGGGCACACCTTCTGCACCAGTTTGTAGTCAAAGCTGAGGAAAGAGACGAAGATGCAGATGACTTTGAAGGGCTTGGCACAGAGCCAAGCGGCCTGACTCTGCGTGTGCTCCGTGAAGCACACCTGCGAGGGGTCGTACAGGCACGGGCGGTGCTTGCGCGCGCGGTTTGTCTTCTCATATTCCACGTGACAATTGAAAGCGCGTGACTCTTTGGCCCCAGGAACTCCCAGCGCTCCCCCGAGTGGACCCGCCAGCGCGCTCCCGAGGGTGCCCCCTAGCCCTGGCCCTGCCGCCGCCGCCATCCCCAGCGGGGGTCTCAACCCCGGGAGCACTCCCTCCAGGGCCAGCGTGGACTGCAGAGGGTGGGGGGCGGGTCCCGGCAGCCAGACGCCCCCGAACTCGACGCGCTTGGAGGGAGGCACGATGCTGACGCTCAGGTTGCCCAGGCTGGAAGAGTTGTGGCGGAAGTATACGCTGAAGGTACCGTTAACATGGTCCACTATCTTGCCAGTCACCAGCAACGAGAACTTGAGGGTGTGCACCCGGAAGTAGAAGTCTCCCCAACCGAAGATTTTCTTGGCACGGGCCGCTTTAATGGACGGCTTCCGCTTGGTGCGCTGCACCGGCAGAGCCCCGGCTACCCCGGCCCCGGCCAGCGCCCCCGTGTGGTTAGCTGGCCAGGCCCAACTCCAGGCGCGGCCAGTGCCAAGGCCATCCGGAGAGCTTGGTGCGGGGAGCTGCTGGCCAGGGGCGCCCCCTCCGGCCGCAGAGGGGCGCAGCTCCAGGTACTGAGGCCTCTGGGACTGTGGCATCTGAGCACTGACAGCCTGTGGAGGAAAAAAGGGAGACGCTGAGTTTGTCCCTGGTTATCCCACCAACGCTCTACTTAACTACTAACAGCCCCGGTCACACCTGCTGAGACCAAAGGAAATCGAATCGTGGTTTGCAGCGGGCGAGTGCATTGGACTTTAGCCCTTTCAAGCTGTGCGGTATTGGCCAAGTTACTTCATTACCGAGGCCTCAGTTTCCACATTTGTGAAATGACGCTAAGAATCCTTGTAGCCTCAATGCAAAACAAACAAACAAACAAAAAACCCACAACAAACCAAACAACCAGTGTGAGTGTGAGAATGGAGCAGCGCTCTGGACCCCCTGGCCTGGCCCTTGCCCAGTTCGAATTAAAGGCCCTGGGAGAAACTAAACTTGAGCAAGCTAAGGCAGCGCTGCTGTCACTGGCTACCATCAAGAATGAGGCACAGGAGTGCTCCCAGCATTTCTGCCGAGATTACAGTCTCCAACTCGGCCTTGCCCCTACTCTCCTTGGAAGGAAGGGGCGCCGGAAACTGGCTGAGTCTGGGCGCCACGGGGATTCCAGGGATATCCCGCTCCTCCCCTCCAGTTCTGTAGTGGTGGTACCGGCCTAGTGGCCCTTCCCTGGGCTCAGAAGGGGCCCCGGAGGAGCCACCCCCTGCCCGCCCCTACCCTTTTCCACGCGTCTCAGGTGGCAGCAGATCCGGAGACAGCGCGGACACGAGTACAAGATGGATCGAGAGGCGGGAGCGGCCGGGCCAGGCCCGGGCCATCAATTATCTGGGGTGGTGGTGGGGGTGTGTGTGTGGCCAGGAATGTAGGAGAGGAGAGCTGGAGGAAGAAATATGGAGATGCCGTTCCAGCGAGGGGAGCGGGAGGGAGAGGAGCCCTGTGCGTCAGAGCGTTGTCAGTCAGCTTCTGCAAGTCGACGCCTCTGCTAGCTGGGGTGCTGCTTGGTGTGGCCCTGACTGCGTGTGGGTCCACGCATATGTGTGAGGGAGGAGGGCTGTGTGTGTACCTGCAGTGACTATGTGTATCTACCTGAAGTGGCTGTGTGTATGTGTCTGCTGCCTGGAGGGTCTATGCATGTGCATATCAGTCTCATTGGTGTCTGTATGCCTGTATCAACCTTGGGAGGCGTGTGCGCGCACGCCTGTGTCTGGGTGCACAAGTGCTTACGATACAGGTTTTGTGTGTGTGTGTCTGCCTGTGGTGGCTGTAAGTCAGTTTTGACAGCCTGCAGTGGCTATGTATACGTCTGTGTGTTGTCTAGGTGAGGCTGTGTATGTCAATTTATGGTAGTTGTGTGTGACTGGTTTACCTGTATGTCTTTTTTTTTTTTTTTTTTGCCTGTATGTCTTCTTGAGGGTAGCTGCTGCGTATGTTACTTTACCTGTGTGAGCTCTTTTCCCTGTCCATGTGTCAGGCTCTTTCTAACAAATACGACCTTACTTGTTCCCACTAAAAGGTGAATGTGAGTTGTACATAAATGGTCCCTAAGGGGTGTCTCCCACTGGCCTGAAGGCTAAGGTAAGAAGGCCTGGCTACAATGGGTGCCCCCTCTGTTGCCACACACTAGTGTGTACACACCGTGTATCCACAGGGGACAGGAACGGCAGAGCCAAGCTGCAGGGCTAGAATCTCCACCGCCTGGTTCCCATCCCTGCAGCGCTGCGATCCCAGGTTATTAATGCCGCCACCACCCGCTCATCATACATATTTATCGCCCCCCTCATTCCTCCTCCCATCCATCCCTCCTCCCAGCCCAGGTGAGGGTGGGGGCGGGGCCGCATGAGTGATAGACTCTGACAGACAGGTCAGGCTGACAGCTAACGCCTGGAGGGTGGATCTGAGAGAGGGTAGGGGAAGGGGTCCTAGGTCACTGGGGAAAGGGCCAGAGACCTCGCAGGAGCAGGAGTGAAGCCCCGACTGAGGTGGGCAGTGGAAGACAGACCCTGAGCCCAGGGGAAGGTGGAGGAGGCTTTGAAGGAAAGCTGAAGGATGAGGGGATTGTTTGAACGCTCACTCCTAATCTTGTTGCCCCTTTGAGCCTGAGCATTGCTCTTTACTGGGGGAGCCCAGCAGGCCTCTGCATGCTTCTTTGATCCCAAATGCCTCCAAGTCCCCCTTCAGCACATTGTGGACACCGTATTTTCTGCATCCAGCTCAGGACTTCCTGGGGGGAATCTTGATTTAGCCCAGCAGCTTCTGGGAGGTAGGGGCTGGGGAAGGGACAGCATTTGGCAAGGGTGTGTCTTCCCCTCTGATCCCAGACAAATTGTTGTCTCTGCTTCTCTGATCCCAGCAAACCCCCTTGCTTTGGGCACAAGTACCACCCACCTTCTGTAGGAGATGGCTAAGAGGAAAGAGTTGGGAGGGGTGGCCAAAGCGACCTTGGGGGAAGTTCAGACAGGGAGGGGTAAGAGTCTGTGAGGAAACGAGCCGAGAAATGGGAACATGGAATAAAATAAAATAAAATCCTCCCTCTGGCTTCCTCGCTCGCACGCTCTCTCTCCCTCTCTCACCCTCGCCTTTCACTGTTTCTCTAGCTCCCTCTCCCCCTGACTCTTCTCTTGGTCTCTATTTGTCTCATGGTCTCTTCTTCACTCTGCCTCCCTCTGTTGCTAATTTTCTCCTTCTGGGATTCAGTGTTTCCTCCCTGTTTCTTTCTTTCTACTTGTGGTTCCTTCTCTCTGTCCTTCAGGTTGTCTGTTTTCAGCCTTGTGTGGGGGTGACAGGGAGGGGACAGAAAGGTGGTAAGGGAGCCCTTCATTCCCCAGAGTCCATAGTGCTATCCCTCCCCTCAGCTGTGTGGAAAGAGGGTGTTGTCCGAGGGAGGCAGGGTCCCCTGGATCTAGACTGGTTTAATTAAGCTAATTGGGCGCGGTGACATTTGCAGAGGGGAGAGGCTAGTTTGGCTGTCAGCGCTGGGGGTGGAGGTGCGCAGTGCTGAGAGGGGGGCTCAGCCAGGCTCCTTCAGGCCCAGGCAGGGAGGGAGTCTTGCCAGGAGTGCTTTGCCCTGGAGGCAGCCCAGCCCACGCACTAGAGGGGAGTTGAGGCCGCCTCTTGCTGCTAAACAAACTCTACTGGGGATGGAGGGATATGCTTGGGATGGGACCGCTAGGAATAGGGGAGGAACAGTCTGTCAGCCCCCCAGCCGCATTGCAGGGTGCACCTCCCTGGGGCCCCAAGACTGGTTGACTGCTTCTCTCCTGCCGCCTGGGTCAGGAAGAGCCGCTCAGGCTTCCACCAGGGGGAGAGGATGGCACCCTATTTGGGGGAAAATAACTGGTCACCATTCTTTGATCCAGAGTTGGGGTTGGGGGAGAGGAGCACGCTGAGCCCTAGCACTTAGGAAGAGGCAAGGGCACTGCAGAGAGGTGGTGGAGAAGTCTGGAGCAGGCTGAACCAGGGACAGAGGTGGGGGTGAGAACAGAGGTAGGGTGGACAGGACAGACTGAGGTGAGGACTGGGGCAGAGACAGAGAATGAGGAATGGAGACTGAGCAGGCACCGAAATAGGGAAGAGATGAGGATGAAGCAAGGACAGGCTTGGGTGGGCAAGGATGAGTAGATGAGGGATGATAGGCAGGCACAGGGCAGAGGTGAAGATGCGGGTGAAGCAGGAACCAGAAAAGGAAGATGGGAGACAGGACAGACACTAAAACAGGGGTGAGGAGCACAAGGAGGGGGGTGTGGGCTAGGCAGTGAGACAGGCAGGAATGAGGATGGAGAGGCTGGGAGATGAGGATGGGGCAGGAAGTGACAGGCATAGAAATGGGAGGTGGGAAGTAGTGATGGGGAGACATGGGGATGCACCTGGCTGGCAGATCAGGGGCCTGGGGAGTTGGATAGGAAATGGGGGGCAGGGAAGGAGACGGGAGAAAGAGACAGAAGCTGAGGACAGGAATGGGAGACAAGTCAGTGGAAAAGACAGAAGACCTGGCAGGATCAGGTTATGGGAGGGGGCCAGACAAGTGGAGGCAGAGGTCAGCTTTTACTACAACCAGAGGTGGTGGGGGACCCCGGGTGGGATGACTCTGCCCTTGGGCCAGAGCCTCCTTCTCTCAGCCCCGCCTGCCCGCCAGCTCTCGGCCTGCAGCGCAAGGCTCACCGTTATCTGAATTTTGATTTTATTTTATTTTATTTCCCTGCTTCCTAGAGCTGGCGCGGTCCCCCCGGGAACGGCCACCCCCCGTCCCCCCCCCCACTTTATTATTGCAATAAATGTGCCTATAAAGGCGCCGGCTCGGGGCGCGGTGGGGGGGAGGGGGCCGCGGAGCCGGGATGTAATTTCCCGAAGCTGGAGCCGAGGGGGAGTGGGCGGGGAGGTGGAGGAGGGGCAGGCGGGGGAAAGGGGTAGACTCGCCAATTTCCAGCGCTCCAGGCAGCGCTCCCAGCCTTCTTCCCCGTCCTGAAGATTGCCCTGCCCCAAGCCCCGCCACGGTCCCCAGTGTCCAGCAATGCTCAAGTCCTGAGACCCTTCCCCATGACCTTGTACCCTCTCCCTCCGTTACCTTGCTACCTCTTGGTTACCCGCGTACCCTCAAGGATCTGCCCACCTTTCACTGGCAATGTCCTAAGTTCCCCTTCTCCTTTCTGACCCCTAAAACCTGCCCCCTTCCCTTGTTTCTTTTCACTATTATCTTCCTTCTTCCCAAGTACCTGGTCTTTGCTCCCATTGACCTCTATTTACCTGGCTTTTGTCCCCCAAATCCCAGCCACCCTGTCTTAGATCTCCAGCCCCTTTCCTACTTTCCTCACTTAAACCATCAGCTTTTAGATTTTCATTTCTGAAGAATGCCCCTGCCAGTCAGAACTGAGGTTTCCTTGCCTTGTAGGTTCTGGCTCAAGAGAGTTTACAGCGCTCCCCTCCCCTGCTCCTCAGGCCCAGCTGCGGCCCCTGATTACCCCCAAATCCCCTCCAGAGGCTTGGGCCCTAGCCCAGGCTGCACGTGCCTAAGTGGCTGAACCAGAGATTAGCTGGGGGGCCAGCCAAAGGGGGGGCTACTAGGGGGGGCCTACTAGGGCGGAGGACAAGGGACTGGGGCCTGTGGGCTTTGGAGGCCAGTTAGTTACAGGTCTAATTCTTCCCTGAGGGGGGGATAGGCTAGATGGGCTCACAAGGCCCTACCTTTGCCCTCCCCCAGCTAATTAGTAATTAGTGATTGGTGATTAGTGACTATTGATCACCTGCCGCTTTTCCCAGAAGGCAGCTGCTTTAGCAAGGGGTTGGGGAGACAAGGAGAGGAGGAATCAGCCTATAGCTGGAACATCCTGGAGAATTCCTGGTGGAGAGGCCAGACCTCTGGGGCTAAGGAAGCCTAGGGTCCGAGGCCCAGAGAGGAGGGGAGTCAGGAGAAAAGGAAGGAGAGAGAGATCCAGGAGGTGGACAGAGGAGGATGGAAGAGGGCAGGGTCACAAGTGTTTGAGAATGTTCCAAAAGAGCTGTCCTATAAAGGGACCCTCCACTACAGCCTCACTTTTTACTCATTCCCACCCCTGGCACTGAGACACCTCTCACTGGGCACAGACAAACATAAAAACATGTCTTGAGCCTGGCAGTGCCTTGCCCACACTCAAATGTAACCCAAAATCACAATCACATAGACACACACAAACCCCAGAGACTCATATCCTGAGAAACAACACATGAGCCCTAGCCCAAGGATACACCCTTGTGCACCCACCACATTCACAGTGTAAGTAAGTATACACAGATGGGTACTCAGACATACAGACACTTCTCTCCCCTTTCCACAGTTGTGTGTATTCACACATCCACAGTGTGTACATACAGAGATACACAGATGCTCACAAGCTGGACCAAACGCAGCTCATGCTTCTCTACCGACTCGAGCACAGGCCCCACAGCTGCAGCTCTCTCATGTACAGTCAGATAGATCCTCATCCCTCATCGCTCACATCCTCATGCTGACTCTCCCTCAAGTCTCCACCAGATGTTTCATTCCCCTTCAGGGGGCAAAGGAAATTAAACCAGATCTGTCCACAGGGAAGTTTATTTGATGGGGATTGTAGAGAGGAGAGTGGGGAGATGGTGCAAGGGAGGGGAGGGGTGGGTGAGGCTCATCTCTATCTCCTCTGACCCCAGGCCTACACACTTGGGTGGTTTGTGGGGCACAGTCAACTCCCCTGCAGTCATCCAAGGGCAGAGCTGGACAGCAAGTGCAAAAGAAGCTTCTGCCAGCAGAAGCGTTTTCATGAAGGGGTCTCTGCTGCCCACCTTCCAGGCCCTCAAGGTCACCAGGCGGTCTGGAAGCATCAAGGAGCTCTATCAGTGGACTCACCAAGGCAGCCCTTACCTGCTGGCATGCTGGGTGTGATTTGGCTCAACAAATGTTGTCTAAGTGCTAAGAGGACTATATCTCTTAAGATCCTGTAGGAGCTAGAGACTGGGGTTTAGGGAACCATCTGCTTGCTTTAAAACTGAGTGGGTCAGAGTTGGAGGCCAAAGAGAAAAGGTGTGGGCAGGTGAGGAAGGGGCCAGGACTTAGCTTCCCACTGTGGGGCACACAGATTGCAAATGAAGGACATAGGTACTTGTACACTAGTCCATACAGAGCAGACACCACCACACTATATCAGATCATATCACCCTGGCCCCAGCGTTAGGCACTCCAGCCTGGCTTGGTCGGACACATGCACACAGGTGCACTTCCAGTCCACACTCCACACCAGCATACACACGCATACCAGGTAAAACGTCTGGATAAAACAGCGGAAGGATGGAGGCGGCCAGTCAATTTGGTCTCCTCATCCTCAGGCTCCTTGTCTGTAGCCTTAGAAAAAGAGGCAGCAGAGGGGGTCAGGGGCAAGGCGGTGACAGAGACTCCCCTCCAGGTAGCTCCCCCCCCTCCTGTGTTAGCCGGGTGCGAGAGGGGGTGTGTCTGTGAGGCTGTGCAGGGGTAATGGTGTCTCCGCGGGAAATGTGATGGGAGACTGTAGCCAAGTTCAGCCGTGTCTGTGTGAGTCCGTGTGTGCGCGTGTGCTCAGGACACCGTGCCCACCTGGCATTGTGATATGTGTAGAGAAGAGAAAATAGGAAGGCCAAGGAGGTGGTGAGTGGGAGGAAGAGGGACAGACAGACAGCGAGCAAGGCAAGCGAGGTTGGCGCGGAACCACGGCAAGGCTGACACCCTGCTGGCTTGTCTGTCTGTCTCGCACTCCCGCTCCGTCTGGCGCACTCGCGGGCCAGGCTTCGTCCCCTCCCCCGCCCCCGCCTGGAGCCAGATCCCCGCCGGGGCTCTTCCCAGAGCCCCCTACCTCCAACCCTCAGCCAACTTGCGCTGGTAGAGCGCCAGTCCTGAATCGGGGATCTGTCTGTCCGCGAACCCTGTGCGGCGCAAAGTTGGGACCGACCGAGCTGGGGGCGGGGCGGACGCAAGGAGCCCCCAACACTCCTGGACCTGCTTGTCCCAGGACCCCCAGGTTCGCGTTGCAGCCCCGCCACCCTTACCTTCCGCAGGAGCCACGGGCCAAAGAGCAGGAGAAGCCATTCCAGCAGCAACCGCATCTTCCCGGGCGGCCGAGCGG